ACACAACTGGTAGCAGTGCTCTCCACAGGACGTTATGTCATTGCAGAACAGTAACACTCACACTGTGTTTTTTAATTATCTCTGGCCACAGTTACAGCTCCGTATAGATACAACAATCAGTACTTTACTGGCTGCTGGTCATCTGTGTCATTTAGGTTATACCACAATGTGCGACACACCATTTTGAATTAAAATGCACTGAACTGCTGACAATAGTAGATTCCCCTTTCTTATTTTTTGGACTTAATTCCACAATTTGGGACATCAGGCGGGAGACAGCAAAGATGCTGAAGCATCTCTGTTTTAAAATTTTTTCTTCCCACTCTCACCAAGTGCTGCTCTTTGTGGGAACTGTTGGGTTTCTCTCTATAATATTGTAAGGTCTTGACCTAACCCTGTGAGTGCCTCATATAATATGATTTGGCACTATACAAATAATACTTTTCTTTAAGCTGACAGTTTGTATGACTTCAAAAGAATGAATTAGAATATACACACACACACACACACACACACACACACACACACATATATATATATATATATATATAAAACACTTTTCTGTGCTATTTTACTAAAACACTGCACAGTGTTTTATGGATGAACAATACAACGAATAAAAATCAGACAATAAAAGCGCGTTGGGACACAGAACAGAAAAAACAAATATTCTCTTTTTATGAGAATATGTCACAATACGGGCTTCATGTGTTTTTCGTGTTCATTTGTTGGAAGCTGCCCTGGCCCTCCACAAAGAACAGTATCCCAACAAACTGGCTGTACACACATTTCTTTGAAATGTAACTACAGTCTATTAACAATAGTGAAAACGAGGTCCAGGTTTAAAGCAAAATCAGCTTCTTTTTTTTTTTTTTTATTCAAGATGAGGAACTGATTTAGAAGAAATGTGAAACAGTGTTACCCCCAGAATTCACCAGCTGTCCTGCACTGGATGGGTACAGGAAGGGGCCAGCAGAGTTCCTTTCAACAACTATCTTGGGCCCAATCTCCCTGTGCAAATGAGCAAAGCTTTGGGGATTTCTGGCTTTGCATTCCATAATGCTGCAGAGACTGAGTGCCTCACAAAGCCTGACTGCAGCAAATTCCACACAATGGAACTCCACTTTCTCTCCCTGACTCACTAACACTGTCACTCAGTCAGACCAAGCCACTGTTTTGGGGGGGGGGGGGAAGGGGTAAAAGGCATTAAGACATTTAGACAGAGAAAGAGTTGGCTAGCTGCTGACCACCAGACAGAGCTCAAAGGAGGCTAACACAGAAATGTGTCTCCATATAAATGCAAGTACACAATGCAGAACCATGCTGTGTGGTGACACTGTGACACCGACCCCCACCGAAAGGATTCATCAGCCGTCTTGCACCCACAAACACAATTCCACTCGTGATCTGGACACTCATTCTCTTCACCAAACACACATAAGACCTAATATGACAGCTATCCCAAAACTGAAAAACTACATCTTTCCAACTTCTGTTAAGTGTCTAAGAACCTCATTCATCACAGTGCAGCAGACACATCAAGAAGAAGAGTCTGAATAACACCACACTCTGGAACTCAAGTACTATGCTTGAATCTCTGAGCTACAAAAGACAATAACAAGCCAGTTTGAGAACTAGAGCATTAACAGACTGACTGACGTGTTCCCAGCTCTGCAGACACATACGTACACGTATGTACATCATGGTGTTACAATGTTAAAACATTTGTATATAAACATCACATATTGCCATGCTCAAAGCGCCATAAAAATATATATTTCAAAATCACAATAAGCAAATATCCAAGATGTCCAAATATGGAGCACTGGGCTACTGAAAATCCTCCATTACACTGACAAGCTTTGATTCATACAAAGAAGTAATACTTGTCATGTTGAGTCTTTCTCTTGAGCTGCTAAGGTAATACCAGTAAAACAAACAGTTTATATTTGATGTTGGCAAAACAGCGCTGATGTAAAAGCAATCATTTCTCAAACTCCAGCAAATCCCCGAGAAGAGATGCAGCGGTGTCATTACAGAGAGGAAACGTAATTTACTGTCATGCCTCTAACAGAAAGTCCTCCGAGAAAACAGCTGAAAAACAAATGTAGGCCAGAAAGAGCAAAAAGAAAAAAGAAATCTGGGGAAAAAACGTCCATGTTTCTTGGTCCAAATGTCATGTAGAAAAGATCTTGGCACGAAGCCCATGTGCAGTAGTAGCTGTACGCCAAGACTTTTTATTCTCTTACTACAGTGGCCCAGAGGAAACAGAAAGAGATGTTTTGACTTTCAAGAAGTTAAAGACAATAATATTCACTGTTTGAAAAATACTCAAAAACAACTGTCAGTTTAGCACCTCAGTTATCTGGGCAGTGTTTTCTAATTATAAATATGCATATGAATGCATCTATACATTGATTTAATTTTTATTTGTACAAAAATATACAACTTGTGCCCTTAAAAATGCCCCTTATTGGTAAATCCAACAGTCATAACAGAGATAAGCAACAACTCTCCACATGCTGCTCTTCCCTTAGTGTTTCCCTAATGCTATTGTATTATGAATGGATCTTAAAGAGAACGCACACAACTAAATTAAAGTTCCCATGTTTTACACTTTTCTTGTGTTTTATCTGAAGCATTGATCCATAAGAAGATATATTTGTGGTTTTACGAACCAAAAACCATCTCAATGTAGTTTTACATTACCAATAGGTCGGCGAGCCAATCAGAAGACAGGAGGCTCTGAGCCTCTCTTGTGACTGCTTTGTTGTGACATCACAAAGTTACAGTAGTCCTGATGGCTGGTTTTAAGGCTCAGTTTCTGAATACAGTCTGAGTGTAGTTCTCTGTGGACTGAGCGCTTTGATACTTTCACAGTATAAATATAGAATCTAGACCTGCTTTATAATAAAAAAAAAAGGCATGTACATCTATCTTTATATTATATGGGACCTTTGATGACTGAGTTGATAACAAAGGAAAATCCATTCCAACTATAGTACAGCTGTAAAAATATACCAAAAACGTATAATGTATTAAATGGATAAATAGGAGAATATCATCATGATTAACAAACACTTTTGTTTAACTATGTTTTGTCGCCCAGAATAACAGAAGTGGACAAATGCTTTACCTTTCCATCATGTTCTGCTACCTGCAAACTAAAGATGGTGGATCATCTCTCACTCTTGTGATATTATTGTTTTAAATTCCTATAACAGCCTGCTGCCAGGTGGAAGGAGGAATGCAGTTCCTAGACCTACACAGTGCATAGCTCCAGGTCAAGTGTCTATACAAAAAAACTAGTGTTACATAATCCTGCAAAGATCTAAAGGAAGGCTCAGACCCTAAAGTCACTAGTTACAAGATCACTTACAAACTAACCAATAATCAGAGAATTAAATCAGATGCTGAACACTGAACATTCCCCAAATATAACATCTCAGTTAAAATACATGTTTTCAACTCCTTCTCACACTTAGACATTTCCTTACAACATTCCCAAGGTAAGCTCCAGTTTTTCCAACTGCAGACAACCAGCGATGCTTGGAACATTTTATAGAGCAGGATGAGGGAAGGCCAGGTACGAAGTGTGTTCATGTCCCGACACGAGCAGCTGAGCGAAGGGGGAAAAAGCGACAAGTGGCTGAGACTTCAAAGCTCACCAGCATGAGTTTCTGGGAAACCACAGCATGTTCGCCTGCTCTGATCAGCCCTCTGATCAGATTTAGACACATCCTACAGACAGCCTAAACAATCTCCTCATTGCTGTGGTGAAGGGTGGATTTTTTCTCTCCTTTGAGGGTATCTGGGCAGGGCTGCACCATGGGTTCCCTTCAAGGCTGTGGGCTGACCCCAGAGGACAAGGCTAATTCTGAGTATGCGGCTGTGGTACAGGCTGGGGGTGGGGGGGGTGGGGGTCACCCCTTTGTCCCCTGCCTACAGCCTGAATTAAGCTATTTATAGACCCATGCATTATGAACTGAAATGCACAACAAGATTGCAGTGGACAATTAAAGACAAAGGCGGGCACATATTTGGGAGATTGGACAGATCTGGAGCTTTGTGTTCTCTGATTGTGGCTTTGAGAAACTGCAGCCAGCAACATGTTAAAGGAAACTGCTTCGTTGGTTGGGTGACTGGAGCAGAGTGCTCCTGACAACCAGGACACATTCACAAGTGCTTATCAAGTAAGAAGCATTTCCTCCCTTTCATGTCAGAGGGAAAGTCAAACATGGAGTTTAACCTGTGCAACGAAAAATTCCTCCACGCAAAGTGATAGCAAGGAAGTAACTTAAGAAACTGCTCCACAATGTGGTGTAAAGATCCATAGTCCACAGTGAAAAGCAAGCCTATTGGTCGTGCCAGACCCTGCACAAAGATTTTTTCCTGGAGATGAAGAGCACATTTCCTCAAAACATGATAAGTCACCCGGTGGAGTCTGAGGGAGGAGAGGCTGTGGTTTCAATAAAATCTGATTGGACTGTGTCTTACTTGAAGTGTGTTTGATTAGGCTAGATGTCATGCAGGCATGTCTGGGAGAGGGAGATGTTAACATTGCTGTGCAGGGAGCTCTGGTGAGGAGCCTAACCCTCCACATTGCTTGCGGCTGACTTCACCAGCTGTGTGACCCTAAAAACCCTTTTCATTAACCTCTGCAGCCAACAGCTGAACTCACTGGCAGGTGTCATAACTTTGTGAAAACTTACCGAGACGCTGTAATAACCTCTGAAGTAAAACAGGATCAATTATTTCCACAAACCTCTGCATAAATTTCAAAGAAAAAGTTCTATAAAGTTGGTTTTAACAGTTTAATTCATTAACACACATAATATCAACCATTTTCACTTCACCACAATCAGATGTGGTAATAAAAAAAAAGAAAAGAAAAGAAAAGAAAAGGGCAGTCTCTCTACATGCTTTAAGTATTCAGTGCATTCCCGTCCACTGTGCCTTGGGGTCGGTTCCCGTTAAATTTGAAGGGAAAAGCTACTTACAGGATGGTAGTCTGAGGAGAAACTGCTGGTACGGTTTCCAGGTTTAGGTGCATACATCTCACGGTGGTTCGGAAACATAGACAGCGACTCGGACAACAAAGTCCGAACTGTGGTCCGCTGGCGAGCGATAACAAAGCCACCGCGAGTAGACACGGAGAAAAGAGCTGGCCCGCTCGCAGCGCCATTGCTAGCAGTGAGCCGAGCAGAGCATAGACCGCCAGCTGCCCCTCTCACACACCAACAGCGAGCTAGCTCGACTGGGAGAGGCAGAGAGACACACACACACACACAGAGCGAGAGAGAGGGAGAGCGAGCGAGAGAGAGAGAGAGAGAGGGAGAGAGAGAGAGAGAGAGAGAGAGAAGTGGGCCAGTGTTACAGTCCTACACAAGGGAAGTCCAGCAGGAATCTGAGTGCACTAACTTTTTCAGTATTGACCTTAACGTCGGTAGCTGAAACGTCACACTGTAACGTATTTGTCCTCAGGTAGAAGCCCATGATATTCGGTTTGTACCTTGAAGTAAGTTGAAATAGCATTTTTTTCCATAGCGCCCCCCAAATCCCATATTTGGTAGGTGCAATTTGTCGTAGTCATAAAATGTGTTACAGCTTTACTGTTATAACAAATTAGCGCTTGTTGAGGATCTAAAATGTCCTGGAGCACATTTTGAAATTAGAGTCAATGTTTGTTTATCTATGTATTCATTCTGATTTAGGCTATGCACTCACTTGAGGAAAATAAACAGAATTCAGAAAAACAGCAGAATTTCTTATAAGAAAACATTTCTCAGAATTCTGAGAAAATTATCTCTTTAATTCAGAAATACAGAGCAGATTTTTTTCTGTCAAGTGAATGCATTGCGTGATTTAGGGCATAAAGCTGTGGCTACCCTTAAAACCATGCATACTGTATGTGGAAAATACAGATCCTTAGATAAAAGTAGCAAATAGGCTACCAAAGTGTAGTAACCAAAACCAAAAATATTTCATCTGGAAGCAAAGTCATGCTTTCAGAATCATTCAGAAGTATCAAAAAGTAAAATACCTCAACTCTAACCTACTTAAATAGAATACTTCAGTCCCAAAAACAATCCCAGCAAACAGGGAACATTCTGTCCACGGAATATTAAGAAAACTCTCCAGAAGTACTGAAGGGGAACATTTTCTATGGAGGTCCTACGAACTTTCCCATGGCCCTCAGGCAATGTTTGCAGAACATTCCTCAAACCAAAAATTGATTGCTGAGATAGATTAGATAGATAGATAGATAGATAGATAGATAGATAGATAGATAGATAGATAGATAGATAGATAGATAACAGATGTGATTCATGATGTGGTAAATAAATGTCAAGGTGAGAAGTCTGTTCTGATACAAGAAAAAACTATTGTCAGAAGAGCCCCCCCCCCCAGGAATGACTTCCTGCGGTGTACATTGTCACAGCTGAGCTAAAAGTGATGTTCAACAGTTTGTGCAGCATCTTCCTCTGCACAACCAACTCCAAGGGCTCCAGAGAAGTCCCCAGCACTGAGCCAGACTCCCTGATATTAGGGTTAGGTGACTGACACTGCTGCCCCAGGAGACTGCAGCAAAGAATATTACACTGGCCACAACATGCTGGCGAAAGATCTGCAAAATCTTGCTGCACACATGAAAAGACCTAAGCTAGAAGTGCAGTTTGCTCCATCCCTTCCTGCAGACAGCGTCTGTGTTGCATTTCCAGTCCAGTCTGCTTTTGAGGTGGAATCCAAGATATCTGTATCCCCTCACTGCCTCCACCTCCTCTACAAGAGTGGAAATGGTGTTTAAAATATCCATCAAAGTCATACCAGTGAGGCAAACCTAAATGAAATACAGCCATTAATGATAATATTAATTTTGCCTGTACTTGTTCTGACATGTTGACACGCCTGCCTTGAAAAAAGACCTTTAGGGAGGGTGCCTTTAAATAGAGAAATATGTCAAAAATGAACAAAGGAATGTAAAGAAAGCTCATATTCTTGGACGGCCCCTGGTGGCCCCTGGTGGCAGCCGCAGGGCCTTCCGATAATATGTTTTTCTTATTTCCCAAAAGCTCTTAATAGTGGTGATGTGTTCAGAAAACAAATGCTCCAGCTAACATTAGCAACAAAAAAGGTTATGTTTTAGCTACCTTAGAAATAAATTGTGAAGCACGGCATCTGCATTGTTACAGCCAGAAACTGTTCATTGTGTTAGAATTATGTTTGATAAATATTTGTTTGACTGAAAAAATTTAATTCACCTACTAGTGAACAGTGTAAAGCTAAGCTAATCCATGAGTTCTGATGGGCTAATTAGCGTTTGAGTAGGCGCACGTTTGCTACCAATCAGAAACATTGGAAAGGATGGAAACTACGTAAGCTTGTGTAAATTAGATATTCAACATTCAAGATATGGTATTGTGTTGTATTGCAGACTGGTATTTCCAATTGCTGCCACTCAGCAGCAGTTCACAATGCATACACACCTGAGCCTCCTGATTGGTCTATTATCTCAAACTGGAACTTCGCCTGATATTGTTCCTGATTGCTGTAATGTGTGAGTGAGAGGAGGATATGTCTGCCGTTGCTGTATCAATGCTAGCATTCCCACAGCCTGCCATTGTTTGAGTATATTGTGGTTTTCCCAATAAACCAACATGTTCTGAGGACTGTGGTGTTTCATTCACAGAGAGCTGTAGTGAAAACTCCATCAATGGTGTGTTTCTCCTCATGTAGGCTATTACAGCGCTTCATACGGTCCCCAGTATGTGTAGGTTATACTAACTCTATTGTGACTCCACTGTAGCCTCTTGGTTCAGGAAGCTCTCACTGACATCACCTTCATGATCTGCATGACCTTTATTTCTTTCAAAGCAACTTGGGGTTTCCCACGTTCCCATTGGCTAGTCATGATCTTATTTAGTTTGGAGCTCCACCATCTGTGTCACTTCAATGTTCACTTCACATTTATTAAGTCAAATCTGAAGTCAGGCCTTCAAACACAGACACAAAAGGTCAAAGTCAAGGTGAAGGTTGCTTCTATTCCCAAAAGAAATAAATAACTACACTGTTCCCAAAAGCAAAACAAAACAAACTGAGGACAGTCGAAAATACAGGATGTGTAAAAAGAGGATATTTAAGGTCCCTGCTGCATATTATAGCATGTTAGTGCCATGGTTATGTTGATCCCAATGCCTCCTACACCAGCTACTGAGTTATGATTGACTTTCCTGTGCCACTGTCAAAACATTTCTTTCAAAAGTGTGTTCACATGTCAATAGTGGATGTGAGGCTGTGGTTGTTTGTCAGGGTGCAGGTGACCGGCACACAGTTGTGTTCACCTCAGCAAATTATATATATGAAAAGAGAACTGAAAACCCAAAGGACAAGGTCAATGAAAGATGACACCCACCTGCTGACATTTAGATATGGACCATATGCTGTGCAGTGTGCCTTGAGAGACACATCTTTGCCAGGGATCATAGAGACACTTTCTACTCTGCAAACTTCAAACAAACAAAAAGAAAAGTGGAGCAATGTTAGTCCAGAAGCCCAAAGAAGATAAGGAACATGTACAAAATGTTCTGGACACCGGCAGGTAAAAAGGAACTCATATCATTGCACACTCTCCAGTGATCCAGATCTGCGTCTGTACTTCAGAGGACATGAAATCTTTGGTTGTTGCACTTGGGTCTTGGTATTTGACCGTGTCGTCTCTGAAAATCAGGGCTTTGATAATCATCCCTTTAGCCATTTAACGATGCTTAAAAAGTACAGCACCCCGAGGCATCCGGGCAGGAAAATAGTTAAGGTTCATACCACAAGCTCACAGTGTGCCCAGTTTGATTCCAGTTGGGGTTCTTTGTTGCATGTCTCTCCCCTTGTCCCCTGTCCTCCTTTACACTGTCAAGTGTCCAATAAAGGCAAAGAAAAATTGCCTGAAAAAATACATTACCCAGGGTCCTATAAGCTTTCAAACATAGGAAGTGCTTAACAATGTCATTGCGACAATCACAGTCTGCAAATGTATTAAAATTCAAGAATTTACAATGTATTTACACATAAACTCAGACGCTTAAGACCTCAAAGTTTGGTCCCTTTGTAATCCAAGTATGAGTATAATGCTGTACTTCACACAGCCTCACCCCCCATTCACATATGATGACGTCTTTCACTTTTCCTCTCTTGTTTTGCATGTTAATAAAAATGTACTTGTTGACTCAGAATGAAGTGTCTCCTGATTGAAATGATCAGTTTAATAGTCAGTCACTTGAGTTTACTCAGTTTGTGTCTAAGATAATACACTTGAAATGCAGGATTCTGGGTCACACTGGGTCTTTCGTACATTCCCTAACTCTGAAAAAGTGATACCAAACTACTGCTTCAAGAGGAGTTATGCACTGGTATGAGAGAGAGAAACATTCACACAGAACAGGCCCTTATAGCCTTCTTTAATTGCTCCATTGTGAAGTGGATTATCTCGACAAATTGAAGCAGCTGCATCTGAATGTTTATTAAAGAGCTGGTCACAGTGAGGTATTTCAATAAGACGCCTACAATAAAATTAAAGTTTGCTTGCAGAAACAAAAGGATCGTTTGAGGATAGCTTGCAAATCAGTGGTTGTTTTTTTTTTAACTCTATTTAATTTTGGAAAATGAACCTGCTTTTCATGGAGTCACTGTAATGAATAGTCTTTGACAGCTGCGCTGCATAAAGTGCACCTGTGGCGTAATAGTGGATTTGTGTTTCTCGGTGTTTGCTGACATCTGCTGGTGGAGAGAATCAACCTGCAGTGAGCACACAAAATAAAGCATTTTACAGGCCTCTGGCAACACATTTTTTTTCTTTATTCAGAGTAAGATGTGTCAACATCCAGCATGACAAAAATTGTACAAAGTTCACAATTTATAAATTAAATATCACAGCAACTTGTGATCTCACACATTTATAGCAAAATTAAAATGTCAACAAATCCATGCTGTGTAGTACAAAAATAAATCAAACTTCAGTTCCACAGAGAGCACAATAGTTTATACAAAATCCTGTCTTTGTTAATGGTCACTGAAATCAATCTCAAAATGAATCGGCTCAAATAAAATAATAAACTCTGATGAATTCACAATAATTTATATGAAAAGTCAGCATTCTAAATACTTGACAACCTTTTTGTGTTCCCTATAGATAGTCACAGATAACTCTTTTCAGATTTGTTAATTATGTACCAACATCAGATGAGCAGCCAGTTTGTGCTTTAAAACCCCCTTTTCCATTTTTACTGATAATGAGAATTAATTCAAAAACTGGTACTAGCTATTACTCTACTGAAGCATTACTATATTGGCAAAAAGCTGCAGACACGATGCTGTGGAAAAAGGCGTATGCAGTCATGGATGATGGGTAGTAGAGTCCTGAAAGAGGACAGTAAAGTACAATAGATGAGATTTAATTAGGTGAACGACAAGCACCTTTTGCATTAGCTCTCAAAAAGGCAAATTCTGAACATGATCGCTAACAACTAGAACAACAGAATGGAGGGGTGCATACAGTCAGGCATACGGGCGTCACGCTGGATTGTATCACCCCTCGAAGGTCTCATTTCACCAGACCTTCGTTTTCCTCTGCTTTTTTTTAAAACCTTGAATTGATTGACTATTTAATCCTTTGTACAGTGATTAGATATAAAGTGCTGCTGGGGGATAACTTCATCTTCCTAAAACATAGCAAAAATGAAAGAACATTGTTAATGTTTTTACACTTGATAATAGCCTACAGTATAACTGCTATGGTTATAATCATCCTCTTCTCTGATTTCAAGTCCCTGTTCTTCCTCTCTCAGTGGTACGAAATCCACGCCTACAGTGGCTCCAAGCAGTTGGTTACTCCAATCGTGTGCCAAAGAGGTCACCTGGAAAATTGCACGCCGCCGTACGTAAGGATAATATCTTCAAGGACAAGTGCAAATAGTCTACTGGCACATAAGTGGGGACAGTGACCCTGTAAGTCCCGCTGTCATACTCTTATAAATACTCTTTACAAAACCCTCTGAAACCCTCCTTTTAGGTGTCCGGGTACTGCTTTTTAGTTCCTGTAAGAACATCAAAACATGGAAACGAAGGTGTCCCTGTGCAAAATCGTACAGAAAAAAAGTGGAACTCATATACTTTCCCCTTCTAAATCTCAATGTCCAGGTTCCCTCCTCTTTTTTAAAAACACTTTTGTATTAAAAGATTTGTATAAAAATCAATATTTTACATAGGCTATATTAAAAAGATTCATGTTACCCCGCTATGCTTATAAACAAGAAATTGCATATACCCAACCTTTTTTTTTCCTTTGCAGATTGCATCCTGTACCTACTATAAACAAATGATTTAATTATTATATTGCTGAGACATTTCTTGATCCTAGCAACACAGGTCTCGAGATTGAGCAGATTTGATACTAGAAAGGCTAGAATGTGGTCTAGGTCATTGTCTTTACACATCATTTTCTATTTGAGATTAGTTAAGGATGAGCATGTGAACATGCATGCACCGCACAGATCTGTTCCTCTAGGAATTAACTGGTTCTCCTAGATAATGGGATTTCCACCATCGGGTTTCCGTGTAATGATGTTTACAATATAACTGTTCATACATACATTCATACATACATCAGGTCAGTTTCCTCTCCGGATTCATTTAGCGCACCAATGAAAAATGCCCCCACCTACAGCTACGCATCTTTTTTTTCATCAAAACAAAAACAGAAACTTTTCTCAAGCATCGTCAGAAAATAAAGCAATTCGCAAACCAGTTCTTGCTCTTGAACAATCTACACGCAAGAAGAAGAAGAAGAAGAAGAAGTAGAAGTAGAACTAGAAGAAGAAGAAGAAGAAAAAGAAGAAGAGGAAGAGGAAGAAGAAGAAGAAGAAAACATCTAAAATCATCAAGTCCAAAATCACCCAGTGAGGAGAAAAATAACTAGCTTCCTCCTTGCTCTTAGTTTTTTCATTTTTATTTCACTATCCAGTTTTTTCATCTAAAATGCTTTGTTGTCAAACAATAAAAGGAACTCACGTTCCGTTATCATTAGCTTACTGTTCAGAAATATACACTAAAAATGTGCATACATGAGCAGCTAGAAACATTACATGACACTATGTCAGCTCATATGAAAACGTACAAAATGTGAATGTCCTCAAAAACTATTTTGCAGTTTACTCTTTTATGTTCTTCCTCAAAGCAAGACCCAAAAAGAAAAGAAAGACAGAAAGAAATTATCTCGAGGTCTTTCTAAGCATTATACCTCTTTTTTTGAGAGAACAGAATTGAGAATATATAGCACTATATAAGTTACTGCACCGCACTGAGGAGATCAAACCGTTACTGCCTGTTTGTATGTGGATTTTATACACCACCCACACCTGCTGGGGGAACAAAAATCTCCCTGTACTGAATGGTTACACTTGGATCCCTTGAACAGCTTGCTTGATGTTTTCCAACAGGGCTTTGTTTTCTGGGCTCTGGTACTGGTCTTGATTTGTGTACATATCCGTTAGAGTGGTCACATAGGCGTCAAAGTTCTGCTCGCTTATTGGCTCCTGCGGGAAACAACAGACACAACAACATGGAGGCTGTTAGAGGAGCACGGAGGTGAGGGAGGAGTTAAGATGCCCTGAAGTCCGCACATCACAAATCACGCTTCGAGAAGAAATATGTTCAAATAAATACCAATTAATGAATTCTTGACGACTAATTTTTCATTGAGTTGTGCGTGTTAACAAAACACAGGGAGAAATGACTGGCGGTTGAAAACGCTTCTTTGTTTACCACCCACCGAGCTGCAGAATAATTCAGAGCTGCAAATAAACAAAACTACTTTCGGAGGAACAATTAGAAAAAAAATAAAATGAAAAACAGGAGCAACTGAAGACCTTAATGTGAACCTTAATGACTACTAAGAATTAGTATTTTATGGCACTTATTTACTTGAATCAAAACTGCTCAGCAAGTGTGTAAGACATAAAACCCAGGCCATAGATTTTACATTAGGATCCCGCACATTTGTCTAAGCTCTCAGATATAAAACCTTGTTTGCAGTTCCAGGCGTCCTGTTAACAGTTTGGCAGAGGTCTCGTTTACAACCCCTCAGGGAAAATGAGCCTGGGGGTTTTATTTGTTGCAGTACTGTGAGTGACCACTAGGACAAAATTGGCAGTGAAGCTGAGTCCTGCCACCGTGTCCAGCTAGCTTAATACAACATCTGAACTTCTCTTAGCTAAATAGAATTGTAAAATATTGTGAAACTGCTGGGGGGAGTGTGGTGAATCATAAACTGACAACTTTGGTCATATGTTCTGGTTCTGCCCATCACTACAGTTGTTTTGGAACAATGTACAGAGGGAACTCAATACTATCATTGACAGTGTTATTCGTTTGAATACAGACTTAATGCTGTTCGGCAAAGCAGTAGACAAAATACAAAGTGAAAATGATAAATTATTTTTCTTAAGGATGCTGTGTATACTGAAACAGATAACTGGAAAGTGGCTTCAAAAAACATGTCCCCTGACAGACAAATGGAGACCATTCAACAAATATATCAGATGGAGCACTTAACTTATCAAATTTGGGGGAATCTAAAACTTGTATGTATATATATATATATATATATATACACACACACATTGCTGATATGTTGCTGATTGAGGAAAGAGGGAAATATTGATATAAGAGAAACTTATGGATTTAAGGGAATACAGCAGGCAGAATTTTAAATATGAAAAAGGATCAAAGTTTTTTTTTTTTTAACTTATTTTGTTTTATTTCAAATTTCTATAAAATACTGTAATAATTCACTGTACAGCAAATATTGTCATTTTATCATTTATATATGTTGTAAAAATGCTGTCATCACATTTCTTTGCTTCCATAATAATAACATTTATAGAGGAGGTGTATGAACAAAGCAAAAATGTAAATAATATACGTCACCGACTTACTTGCTGGTGCAACTGTAAGCAGCTGTTATTCCTTAGAGGAGGCTCTTTGTGTGCCAGTGGTTTCTATGGAAGGCAAGGAGGGACACATTTCTGTTAGCTGGCTTTGAGAAAAGAAGTTGTTATTGTCACATGTAAACACTAGGCGGCAGTATCTGACATGCAGCCAAATAAGACCTGGAAAAAAACAGGAAAAGTAGAAGCTGGACAGAGACAAAGACACACAGGACATTAAGACAAACACAGAGCCATGAGTGGCCCACTCGTGTTGTGAGGAGGTATCACTTGTAAAAATTAAGCTCATTTTACTCCAGTGTCCTGGAGGTTTGTTTTTTTTTATTTTTTATCTTAACTAGTGAAATATAAAAAAGAGGCTATAATTATCAAAAATGGCTTGCCACTTTAGGATGCTTAACTGAGGTTTATTCATTCCTTTGTCAAGTGAATGGTAACTGATCCAATATGCAAGAGGATATAATGAAATAATGGCATTGTGAAGGATAATACAGGACAAAATAGTGTGTGATTACAATGAAACTCTTAGCAACTCGCTTTGTGTTATCTTCAAGAACAAAAAAAAACAAAACAAAAAAAAAGATAGAATGATAGCAGATAGAACACAGTGTTTGAAGCACATGGATATTTTGTCAGTGATAATTCTACTAAAAATCAGGTTTTCATCCTTAAAAATGTCCACAGTCACTTTATAATAAAGCCCTTTAATAATCAGACTTAACATGAACAGTTGAATGTTGTGATCATTTCTCTTCTCGGAGTTGCTACCACTGTGAAAAGCTACATGCCCAGTCAAACCTCATTTCACAACTCCCTCTCACTGTTTCGGAAAGACAAGCAATGCTCCACATTCTTAGACTAAGCATGCACAATAGGCTGCGGTTAAATACACAAATAAAATGAATAAGCTGCTATAACGCTACAGTTAGCAATATTCTGCAACTTGCCGGCTTGCCGTTCCTGGTGACCCTTACCATATGAGGGAGCTGGACATTAGCTAAACTGTTAATCAGTGACTGGCTGAGGTTGGCCAGCTCATGCAGGAGAGATTCATTTTGCTGTTCAATCACCTTGTTTTCCTCCTCTATGGACTTCAGGTTGGACTCCATTGTTGTGATCTGAGGAGAGGAACGGCGGGCGACAGGATGTTACAGTAACAGCTTTGTAATCAAAGGCAGATACACACCACTGCTGACCAGAGGTGGACAGATTACACAGCTCCATTACTCGAGTCAAACTGTAGATACTACTGAGTCTAATATGACTCCAATACAAGTGAAAGTTGTTAAGTCCAATTTATTTGCGAGTACTGAAGTACTTGATTTTAAAAGTAAATTTCAAAAGTACGTTTTTTTCATGTGAACACATTGTTGTATTGTTCCACAGTGTATTTACAGAACCTAATGACTCAAACTACTGAATACACTGACTTTGTAGAACCTGTAGAGTAAAAATCTTGTACAATATGTTACAAAGCCTATAGAAATAGCCATAAAAACAACAAGTGAATCAACAAAAATAAATTGCCATCTTCATATTTCTTTTTTTTTGAAGCTTGGTCGTGGTAAACACACCAAACATTTAAAACCTTTCCTTATTTCTAAATGTTTCACATAGACATAGACTTCAGATCAGACCATGGTCTCTGCTGGAGAATCTTCTGCCTCATCTTTATCTAATGCAGCATCGTTAGGACACTGACAGGTTCAAACATGACTGACAGCGGAGGAGTTGGCTGTGATTGTTTTTCTCCTGTGATGAACACAGTACATGGTCTATCACATTTTCAAAATAAAAGAAAATTCATTCCGCTGACTAGAAGCTGCTTCAAGTTCATAGAAATGTAGGCAAGTATAAAGTCATAAGTTTCCAAAAATCAAGTTATGTACAGATACTCTAAAAATATACTTAAGTACAGTACTCAAGTAAAAGTACTTTGTTACTGTCCACCCCTGCTACTGACTCAAGATAAACACGGGCCGATGGGTGCAGCAGACAGGAAGTGACTTACCTGTGTTCTGAGTTTGATCATGTCTGCTTCCACTTGTGAATTAGAATCACTTAAATCTTTGATTTCCTCATCCAGCTGTTTGATCTCCTCTTCGTGCTCCAGCCCTGCAGAGGAAGAGCAGCGTTAGCACCGACACATTACTGCAAAACCTCATAAATTAGATTAACAGCCTTTATGCTTCAAGTGAAGTAATAAAAAAAAAAAAAAAAAAAAAAAAAAAAAAATTCTGGCGACACAATATGACTGTGTAGCTAAGTAAGACTTCTGCTGGACACTTTTGTGTGACTGTCTTCACCTCTACATTAGAACAGGGTCATGTCACTTCAGCTGATTAAGACTCAACAGTCTCACAGACAAATTACATTATGATCTTGTCACACTCCTTTGTGAAGCGTTGGATTTCACTGTGGTCTGGGGTGAAGTGTTGGGAAAACAGACGGAGCTAGCTCACATATCACATGACTGGTAACTGCCACGTAAGCCCAGCTCTCCTCTCATTATTTACTCTATTCTCCTGAATGGCTGTTTATTTCCAATGTAAGCCTTTCCTCCGACGCTGCTCGCCCCACACACACACACACACACACACACACACACACACACACACACACACACACACACACACACACACACACACACAGGTACCCTCCTGATTGGTTTATTATACGAAGTTGGAACTCTGCTCAGTTAATTATTCGAAACCCATGTTCCTGATTGGCTGTATTGTGTGGGTGCGTGGTAGTTGTAGTTACCATTACTGGCACGTTGCTGCTTTATTGTTAGCATTTCCACTCCGGAGAGCCTGGCTTTCCTCATGGCGGAGGTGGCACGCGGACAACCCGACAGACTGGAAGCACAAACAAGAAGGAAGGACTGTTTCACTACATTCAACACACACATTGAGCCAGTGTAGTTTATAGACTGTCAGGGAGGTTGAGAAGAAATATTCCATCAGTGTCTTAAAGGTGCTCCAGCAGTTTAGTACTGCACTTAAATGATGTTTGGAGACTCACAAAGAAAGACAAGAATGAATGGTGAAAATTGGTCCTTAATGTGGAACAAACTCTAAAAACGCTTGATCCTACATTTCCCATAATGCATCTTTTTGTTTGACCTTCTTGGACTGGTCAAACCCCATGTCTTCACTGAAAAACTGCTAGTTTGCTACACTAGCTCTTCTAGATCTCAATGTGACTTCCTGATTAAATTAAGTACGAATAAATCAATAAATAACTAAAATAAAATAAACATGAATTAATTGAAAACTCTATTAATATGCACATATTCAGTTTCATTCAGTTCACTTCAAATGTTTAACTGCTGGACACAAGACAAGTCTTCTACTAAAAGTCCAGTGTAGGTGCACAGGTTTCAAGTTTCCATATCACCTGTTGAAGTTGCATATTGTACTGTGATTGGTTTTCAAACTAGTTGTGATGTCTCAAAATCCTGCTTATAGGTGCACATCTTAAGAGTCATACCAGACGGACCAGTTCATAAAACTGTAAAATGCTTCCTGTATAAAATTTCATCAGTGGGTCATCGGCTCAATCACCACTGTGTGATAGATAGTGATTTCACAGATCACTGTTTTGCATTTTCATATATATCATATATATGGTGTGTTGTTTGCTTTAACTGACAGAAAACCGTCAATTAAATCTGATCAGACCACGCCCACACACTTTTGATGGACCAGACTCTTAATAAATAAAACATAGCCTCAGGATGTTTTACTGCAAACTTTAAACTTTAAGGTTGGCACAGATAAACCTTTTTGAGTAGAAGGGGACTTAAGGTAAAATTCCATAAATGATTTAATACTGCAGCCATGTTCCCTTGACCCACCTCCGATGCGTCAGGAAGCTGCCGCTGACGTGACCCGAGCCGTCACAGCCCGGCGTGGGGCAGGACATGCCCTCCGTCTTGCCAGACTTCCATGTGAACTGAATGCCGTTTAGGTAGCCATCCTTTTGTCTCTTGGCTGCTATGGGGCACCCGGATGCACTTCTGTGGGAGGCGTACTTCCCTGTCACGTGTCCCTGACCGTCACAACCTGGGACTGGACACCTGGTGGGTGGGTGGGCGGGGCAGAGAGAAACAACACTCTGATTCATTTTCAATGTTTATCTCGGATCTATGCGTTTAACCACAACCTTCATTTACTTACAGATTCAAAATTAATACCGTCATCTTTTCATCACATTGCAGACATTATTTTCCTTCAAAGAGTGACCTGCCGAGTCTCAGCTGCCAGCTAGCTGCTATACACTACAGTCTCTTAGCCTCCTGAGCACAAAAACACCATACACTATAGTGATTTTTCTGTTTCCCTCTATCTCTTTTACTTTGATATAAACAAAGATATGATCATCTTATTTTAAAGCTGTCCCAGTGGCAGCCTTATCACACTTCTGGAATGCTGACAGTGCATCAACACCAGCGCTAATCAGATGCAATGAGGCAGTAAATTATTCCAAATGTCACACCAGGCGAAATGGATTTTGGCTAAAGCTAGCATCAGTTGTGAAACTATATCAAATGGCTGGTTTTAGTTCTTCATGGCTTTTTGAGTACAGAAAAGATACAGGGGGTTTTGTGTACACTATTTGAGTATATGAGGGAAATATCTCAGTATATCTGAGATATTTCCCTCGTAAATACAGATCAGAAGTCAAAGGAATTTCCTGAACTAATCCATCCACACGGGCCCCTAATCTTAACCTAGAGCGATTACAGTAAATAACATTACATCAAACAACACAAACGCTCCGTCCTCGGTTTCTTTCTCTACAGTCTTAATGGATTATGACAATCTACATGATATTTTGTTTTGTGTGAACTCTCCCTGTGCCTCCGTATTTCCTGCATTCTGCCAAATTTCTAGTCATGTTCAAATTCCAAATATCACTGCCACAACAGTTTCACATCGGATGAATCATCACTTGTGAAATTGTGGTTGAATTTGTACATTTCGTGGAGCTGTGTTGCATTCCTGTGACAGTCTCAGTAGAACTCCAATAGCATGTGTGTCATTAGGAGGCCACTGATTATTTTTCTGATACAGATAGTAAGACTGTGCCAGTTTTATTTCAGTGTACAATACATGTTTGATTTGAATTTAGACCTCCCTAAAATGAACACAACCTGAATTTGTGGTCTTACTCTACCACTGAAATAATATCACAATCTAATCCTCTCTGTCATCTGTCAGTTTCCAATATTCTAATCTAGGATCAGCTTCCTGTTTGCTTGACTATACAGTATCAATAAACCTCACCTTAAGGATGATGGATGGTGTTGTGATTGGCAGCGTCACTACTATGGATCTGAGTAAACACTGAATTTTACACCAACATGTGGTTTGAGCCTGTGACTCTAATTGTTTCCAGTCTTTATTAATAGTCAGTTAAAATTCAATACGACCATTTCCCTAAACTCTTGAATATAGTAATCTGTAGGAAAAAAACATGACCTCAGACTTATTGCAATCAGCTGTGCAGCCTGATCATTTTGAATATGACTGTACAGTGTTCATACTATAAGAACGCTGAGGGATCATTCACCACTGCCAAATAAAAACTGTTCCTGACCACTGCCTTTAACAACCTCAATGTTTCTGATACTAACAAAGTAAAACCTTAAAACTTAATTAAATCTTAATTTAAGCCACAGATGGAGCTGCTTCCTACTTTATCAAGTTTGACATCTGGTAAACTGATGATTTCTGTTAATTCTTCTTTTCTCTCTTTGTCCATCACTTTTACTACTCAGGCTTCAGGGTAAATTAAATGTCAGCACTGGATTTATACTAATGAAAGCATGCCTGTAATATTGTACTCTCTGCACATCTGTGAATTATTTTGGCTGATGACTCATGATGGTGTAAGAAACACTGCTCTAGAAAGGTCTTTACACCCCCCACCCCGTGACAGCACCTTTTTCTTATCTTCTGAGGAGAACTTTGGAGTTCAAGCCATAAATGTTTCAGCTGCCTGAACCAGATATCTGCTCACAGCACCACACTGGTGACCTGTGAAGCCGAGATTGGGCAGAAAACAAATCCAGAGCTGTGCTGCTGAGGCTAACATCCACCAATCTGTACTGTAACAGTCCAGAGGAGCCCAACTGTGCAGAAAGAAATAATGTCCAGCAGGGAGAGCCTGGTGAGTGCAGTGTTGTGTTTCATGGCACAGCGGCAGTAGAACAGGTTTGGAACTATATGATTGGGCTGGGAGGGGAGGCTAAAAGGTCCCATATAGTATAAAGGCAGATGTCCATGTGTTGTTTGATTATAAAGCAGGTCTAGGTTTCTATATTAATACTGTGAAAGTATCAAAGCTTAAAGCTTAAAATAAGCTGTCAGGACTTCTGTAGCTTTGTGATGTCACAACAAAGCAGCCACGCACCCAAGCCCTGCCCACCTGCACCCACCATCCAATCTTAAAGTAGTTGGTTTACCTCAAATCTGATATTTTTATTTAATAATTCGTAAAACAGTCAGCGACTGTTGTAACTCAGGGAACTTTGGTTACTAAAGAGGAGATGTAAAACTACATTGAGATGGTTTTTAGTTCTTAAAACCACAAATATGTCTTGTTATGGATATCAAAAATATGGGACCTTAAATATTTTCTTTGAACTTTTAATGTGCATTCTCTTGATTATTTTGATTCTCAATTCTTTTTATTAATTGGTGAATTTCAGTATTTTACAGAGATATTTTCTTGTTAAAAGAGCATACTAACTGACAGGGACGCGATCCGACAGAATGGCCAAAGTGTTGCTGCAGCACCAGAGAAATCAATGCAGCTGCAGGGCTGAGACCTGAGAAGCCCACTGTGGAATTTAGGTAAAGTCCAATCAATCTCTCTCTGCCTCTATCTCTCCCTCTCTGTCTTCCCCTACCTGTGCGTCTGCAGGAGTTCACAAGAGACTGCAGAACCCCCCACCCCCTCCCCTTCCACCTCTAAACTGCTACAAGCCTGCACTTCTGAAGTTTCCCCCTGCAACCTTTAAATTCTGGTTGAAACTTTACACTCGTAGCACATTTGTCTTGTCAGAGCTAATACTCTTTTTTTGTGCTTGCATCAGTGCATGTCAAAGAGCAATGTTCTGATTTTTAATCAGATCAATTTGTTCCCATTCGCACAGCTTCCTTGCATCATTCTAAAACAGGAATAAAAGTTAAGTCATCTGTCATTTTTCATATGTCTCATGAGAAATGTGTGAAGAAAGCTGAGAACAGTGAGCAGAGTTGGTAACAGGACGAGGAGTTTCAGTATCAGGCGTTTTAAAGGGAAACAGAAGACTGATGATCAGTGTCTGTACTGTACCTGATAGGCTCCTGGTCCTCCTTGTTCTCTTTACTGTGGATGATCTTTATCCCACTTTTCCTGGCCCGCGGACACCCTGAGAGACTGCAGATAAATGACAGTGTTACAAAGTTGAAGCAGAAAGTACGTGTGTGTGTGTGTGTGTGTGTGTGTGTGTGTGTGTGTGTGTGAGAGAGAGAGAGAGAGAGGGAGAGAGACCCATATGCAAGTGTAATATATGTACATATAGTGAATTTCCATATATGAAATATATATACATATAAAATAAAAGCACATATGTAAAAATGACATGAAACCTATTGGGAATTGGAATAATTTCACATACTGACATATATGTCTATCCTATACAACTATGTATGTTTATATATATATTTATATTCTTTCTAACATATAGAATATTTATGTATGTTGTTTTAATAAACTTGCATATATACATTAAATAAATATTATTAACATATATGGGCTTGCAACATGTTATAGCACATAAAAATGAATCATATAGATATTTTTAATGTATGTACATATACACATGTTAGAAACCTTCATATATCCAGAGGATGTATATATGTAATAATACTATTGGTGACATATATGGCAACATCAGGCTTGATATCACATCTGTATGGGGAGGGACAGAGGGAGGAGGGGGTATGCAGGGTAGGGTGGGGGCTGGGGGGGTGGGGGGGGGGGGGGCAGAAGCATGGTAACACAAGAACTTTAGAAATTACAGTTTTGTGTGAGATAGAAAACAGAGAGGGGGGAGGTATTGGTTCATGTGTGTATGCTGTAGAATGTGTGTGTGTGTGTGTGTGTGTATGTATGTATGTAGGTATGTATGTATGTAGGTATGTGTGTGTGTGTGTGTGTGTGTGTGTGTGTGTGTGTGTGTGTGTGTGTGTGTGTGTACCTTCTGTGTGAGGCGTAGTTGCCAGTGATATGTCCCGAACCATCGCACCCTGGTGTCGGGCACCTGGGGCAGAAAACACAAAAAGGGCTCAGGGCCTACAGCAAAGGCGCAGTGCTGTAACTGTTTCCAATGAGCAGAACTGTTAAGATTCAATAAATCTATTACAGTAATGAAACTATGTCTTTAGTAGAGCTGCAACAGGTGGCTCCAGGATTATCAAAAGTCTGTCTCTTCTTAGTTCCTACTGAAGATAGAATCTTTAAAACTCATGAAAATATAGTTTTAGTTCAAAAACAGACTAAATTACAGTGGTTTCAGCATGAGTGCAATGCATGATGATATATATTGCTTGGTTAGTGACTGATTGGTTGTACATTACTTTTTTTGATGGATTATGGGATACTATGAGTCTACTATGTGTATAATAAGTCTCACTATACATTCAGACAGCAATACAAAATCAAAAACTCCCTATATAGTGCACTATATATAGGGAGTAGTGAGCAATTTCAGGCACAGCCAGTGTGTGTGTGTTCATAGCAACAAAGAAACATGTCACCCAGTGTGACACTGTGGCTCAATGACGTGTTTTTAATAGTGTTTAGGCAACAATGGAGCTCTATGGCACAGAGGGATAAGATATATCAGGCTTTGGATACACACACAATGCTTATTAGTAAGATCAATTAATTATTGGTTTTAGTCTTTTTAATGGATTTTGTTGACAATAAGCAAATATAAAATATAATCAGTCTGTTTTTAATTGTTTTTCTAAATAGATCTTGAGCTCCATGAATCCACATAAGAGCAGCCTACAGTTTCTATCCATACAGAGCTTTTCCTGACTTATATGAACTAACACTGATGAAGGTTGACCTCGCGCTAGGCAGAATGAGCAAGACACACAGATCATACATATGAGTGAGTCATCTCACGTCTTACTTGAGCTCTTGTGCGTTGTTGGCCAGCATACTTCGAATGCTTTTATCAGCTAAAGGGCAACCTGAGAGGCTGAAAAATACACCAGTGCAACATTAGTTTCACCAGAGTGACAACACACCCCAACCACTGTAACACAAAGCAGTCTCTCAGCACCCGCACTCATATCTACACATACTGCACAAACACATGCGTACGTAAAACATCAATCAGAAAATGCAACAAAAAAAAAAAAAAAAGCCATGATGCAAGTGCAGGGAGCTGATTAGAAAACATTAACCCTCTGAGTATTTGAATTCTTATGTAACAAGCATGTCGTGCTCTGCACTGTGTTCAGACGGGACTGAGTGGATAGAAAATGTGACTAGAGGAGCGTGTTCAGGGGGAATCTCCTGTACACGCAGCCATGTCAGCCTCCACACTCAGTCCTTGCAGATTCATCTCACACTGTAACAGACAGCAATTCTGCTTAAGTCCTCTCGCTCTGAACAGTAAAATGCTTAGTCTGCATTGCACTATGGGAAGGGGCCTGGAGGACCGAATAACATCAGCTTAGAGAGCTTTACACACAACCCATTGAGGGGTAATTTCATCCCAGGGTTAAAAATGAGCACGTATCCAATCTTTAATTAATTTAGTCTTCTGTTTTTTGATAGCTTTGTTTCAGGATGTCAAGCTGCCAATAGTCAAAGGGCTAACGAATAAGAGAGATAGAGACATTCTGCCTACAGGTGTCTGACAGCATAGTCGAGGTAAGCTGAAAACAATAAAGAGAAATAGACTTAGAATCCACCAGGAGAAAAGGAAGTCACACCTTCGATGTGAGGCGAAATTGCTCGTCAAGTGACCACTTCCATCACACCCCGGTGTGGGACATCTGCCACCGGAAAAATAGACAGATTTATAAGCCCAAAGGGAAGGAAAGGAAAACGTGAAAATTAGAGAGAAAGGGGGGTTGTCTCTGATTTTTTATTTTTTATTTTTTTGGTTTTCATTGTTTCCAGTTTAGCTTCACTGTCTGTGATTAACATCGTGGTTCCTGAGATCAGCTACACTTGATACAGCACGATACTGACAACTAGTGTTGTGTCTGATAAAGATAAAGCATCAAAAGAAGGAAACTACAATAAAGGCATCAGTAGAAGCTACCAGATCTAAGATCAGTGTGGACGAATGGATAAAGCTGTTAAATTAAAAAAAGGAATATAAATAAATAAAAGAGTCATATAGCAAGCCACTGCCAGCAGCACAGGATGGGGGGGGGGGGGGGAAGAGAGGTGGTTGTCTGATGTTTTAACTGGTGCACAAAGAAGGATGAAAACAAAAAAAGGAACTAAGATGGGGGGGGGGCAGAGCATGAGTAGGGTCAGGTGGGATGTTGGGAAGTGTAGGAGGGCTCTTACGTTATCAGGTCCTTCTTACTCTCCTTGCACTGGATATACTTGGGCTTGGGGCTGGGCATGTTCACATCCGTGGTGTAGGAGCGGTCCTCCAGCAGGTCGTGGAACGGATCCAGGTCGTCCGGCTGAGGTAGGGGGGAGAAGAGAGGGAAGAGGGGACGAGGAAGTGAACGGGGAGGAAGAAGACAAAGAGGGAAAGGGGTAGAGAGAGAGAGAGAGAGAGAGAGAGAGAGAGAGAGAGAGAAAGAGAGAGATGTCACTCCATCATTATATATTTCTTAAGAAATCGTGCTTCAACACTGTGGAAGTTGGAATGCATTTTATTATCTGCCACATGATGAAAACTCAGATTTCTAGAGTTTCTTTTTCCCTCACCCTCCTTACCTCTTTGTCTGTTTTCTCCAGACACACACACACACACACGCGCGCGCACACACACACACACACACTACATGCACACCTGTCAGTCCATAGAGCCTTGTCAATTTGAATGCTAATGGTTGAGCCTGTGTGACTATTGAGCCTCACCTGTCAATCTCACAGAGGTAGAAAACAGAATCCCTGAGAGGAAATAATGACTCAGTGCCAAATGAACAGTGTGTGTGTGTGTGTGTGTGTGTGTTTGCGGGCTCACTCATGGGTATGTACATGTTCACACAGCATTCTTGTGTGTGTGTGAGAGAGTACAGAACATTCAGGGAGTTGGCTGGCTGTATTAGTGTAATGCACCAGTCGGTCACTAGATGGCACTGCGGTGCAGTGTCAGACCGCTGCCGCCTGTGTTGGTGAGGGGCTGTGCTTTGTCTGCAGTGCACACAGCCAGGGCACACTGGCTGTTGATGCAAATCCTCTTTCCTTTCTTCCATGCTTGCAGTGTATATACAGTAATGCCCATAAAGAGACAGGCCCAGATACAGCCCAAATTATCCAGCGCTCAAGCTGTCTCGGAGTGTGTGATGCTGGGTCAGCCAGTGAGCTCCTCCAATTAAAGGGAGCGTTAGCCTGAGAGGCAGGCGGGAAGGAGAACGACACATGCATACATACAGAGATGCAGAGCAAAAGTAGGCTAGAGATGAAACTCACAGATACACGCAGACACACTCCCAAAGAGACATGGGTACAGACATGCACATACTCATATGAATATTCACATCTCTCACACACACACACACACACACACAAACAGAGGCACATGTACTGTACATGCAAGCGCCTCCACACACTGACAGGCGCACCCAGCAGTGCTGCATTGATTTCCAGCAGTTCTTTGATGAGATGAGCCATTTCGATTCCCTCCCAAGGTGCTACTTTGCATAATTCATTTTGGAGAAGAGCGAAATGTAAAAACAGAAAGCCAGCATGCAGGGAGCATGATACAAACAGAGCAGATACCTCTGTGCATGGCAATGCTGACATCAATTAACATGCAGATTCATTAGGTTTCCCTCAAAAATCCCTAATATGACTTTCTAATGATTCCAAATATGTAACAGTGAGTCAGACGGGGAGGTAAGAAAACCTAGAAGAGAATCAGATGGCAAGGCAAATGTTTGACTTGGAGGCACCGTGTTGAATCAGTGGTTTGGAGGGAGATAATTTGGGCTGAGACACAGGGAACAGACAGAATAAACGGCGCATGCCAACTGCACGGCTTCAAAAACCGCAAACTATCATACAGTTATCACCTATCAGTCATTTGTCTGTCTCTTCATCACTTGGACGTATGATCAAAAATCAAATATTTGCATGAATAAAAATGATGACACCATGTGGAATTTATCCGGCCACAACCAGACATTAGCAGTCAGACGTATTAACAACACTGTCCTCGTTTATTTCCCCCTTTACCTCTTTCTCGTCCTCATCTATGTGTTTGATCTTGGTGTAGTCTACTGGCAGGTCCCAGCAGTCAGCGGCATCCCCCATGCCGTAGCAGCGGGAGCCCAGCAGGGCAGCTTGCCTCTGGGGGGACATGGGCTCTAGAGGGGTGAGCACAGAGTCCCCTCCTCCTCCACCACCACCACCACCTCCACCACCACCGCTGCACAGACGCTTGCTCATACTCAGGTCCAACGTACCGTTCTCATCAACATCTAGACCGGGACTCTGGAAGGTGCATGTAAGATATGGTGTTTGTGCGTGTGCATGTGTGTGTGTGTGTGTGTGAGGAGTAAAAGGTCGGGTCAGTGTATGTGGAGGAGATGTGTGTGTGTGTGTGCATGTATGTGTATGTGTATGTGTGTGTGTGTGTGTGTGTGCATGTTGAGTTTTCAGTCAGATGATTATGAGGGGAGGGTAAAAGGATGCGCAGGACATGAGGAGGCAGGGATGGAGAGAAAGGGATAAAAGAGAGAGAGAGTTTCTGATTAAATAACAGGCAAACATATTCATATTCTGGGATCAGAGCTGGGCAAAACAGTGGCTGAATACGTGATGAATACTAAAGACGGACATGAAAAGTGCTTGAACTTTTGAACTTGTCAGATGTCTGGAAAGATGGATCAAGAAACACTCGCAGTTCAAATATCTGAAACAATATTCCAATTTATTTTTTGCCCAATTCTGTCCAGCATGAAACATGAGACACTTGCAGTGTACAGTAACAGCATAGCGTGACACTCATAAGAGGGTCAAAAGAAGAAGAGGTCATCAGTGCTCCAGGACGAGCGCATCCCTCTGCGAACCCCTCCTTTCCTCTTTCTTTCTCTCTCTCTGTCTCTCTCTTTCCTTCCATCCCACTGTAGTCTGTAATGTGCAGTCGGAGGGATGTGCGTGCGTGCGTATGTGTACGTGTGTGTGTGTGTGTGTGTGTGTGTGAGCCTAATGCGAGTGGACATCACAGGGGGGGCAGGGGCTGAGGGTGAGGGTGAGGGTGAGGGTGAGGGTGAGGGTGAGGGGTGTGGTTGAGAGCAGTGATGAGCAGCAGTGGCTGGAGCTCTGCTGCTGCAAACCCAAAAAACAGAGGCCGAACTGTACTGTGCGCCGGAGCAAAGTGGGTCACATCCACTAAGACTGACTGCCCACTGAAAAGCATTCCCTTTATCTCCTGAGTGCATGTTTGCATCTATACATTTGTGCATGCATTTCTTTTCTTTAATCTAGACTGTACGTATCAAAAGGGCCATTAACCCTCAGGGATTATGTTTTGGTTGGTATGTGCGTTTGTTTATGTCCCTGCTCTCATTAATACCCCTCTCTCTTTTCTCATCTACACTCTCCTCCTCATCCTCCTCCTCCTCCTCCTCCTCCTCCTCCTCGCTCCCTTTCATGAGTAGGGATGCCTGCTCTAATGCTTATTCTAGCCGACAGTGTCCCTGGGGGTGGATTCTCCTGGTGTCTGAAGCCAAAAACCTCTGTGACGCACGTTGACTCAAACGCACGGGGTGACAGAGGTGATAGGGCAACGAATACTGCAAGAACCGAGGCTGAACCGGGGACTTCAAAATAGTAATAGAAATAAAAAATAGAAAAAAAAAAAAAAGGGGTAGTAAAACATTATAACTGCTTGGTCATTAGTCCGTGGAGGAAAATAACTCGCTGTAGAACTATAGGTGCTATAAAAAAAACTTGGGAATCAAGCCAGACAGACAAACATGGAGATAATGGCCTGCTAAACACAATGCCTGTTCATTATAAGGGCTCAACAAGCACAATGCAATCCGAGCTTTTACCTGTCTACAAATATCCACGATGTACGTGTATGCTTCTACACACAGAGAAACAGGGGTATCGTTTTTGTACCCGAAGGTACATTTTTCAGAAAAATACCCTGCAAGGTGCTGAAATGCTCCTCAGGGTGATAACTGTGTGGTGATAACCTTTGTTTAATTTTAAAAGTACTAAATCATTGCTGACAGCAAAAGGTACATAACTGTAATTCTGACAAGATGAAGGTTCAGGCAGATGATGCTGCAAATCAGTGATTGCAAAATCTTGATTTAGTGATTTTTTTCCAGTGATTAGAGGATGACTCCTTAGGTCTTATGCTTCAGCTTAATGTTGAAAAGCTGCTCTTCGTCATGCGCTGAAACAAATCAGTTCTATCAGAACAATACATTGAAGTGCACTGAAAATTGATTCGTTTACATTTGAAATGTAGATTTTTTTTATTTTTTTTTTAAAAGGTGTAAACTAATTGTCAGTTTTTAAAAATAAATATTCGTCAATAACTGTGAGTGATTTTGTCTCTGAATGTAGGAGGATGTTTTTGCCTCATAAAGGTGCAAAATGGCACGTCGCTCAAGGTGCCGGTTCTGGGACGCCTCGGCGGCTCACCTGGTGGAGCGCACGTCACATGGGTTTAGTCCTAACTGAAGCGGCCATGGGTTCGAGTCCGACCCGCAGCCCTCTGCTGCATGTCATTCCCTCTCTCTCTCTCTCTCTCTCTCTCCCTGACCTTCCTATCTCTCGCTCTCACTGCACCTATATAAATAAAGGCAAAAATGCCAATAAAAAAAACAAACTTTAATTTAATTTTTGTGCCAGGATATAAAGGCACATTTTTGTCAGAAGAAATGTTCTATTAGAGGTACAGGCAAGAAGGTACAAAAATGTACCAATGTTCAAAGGTACAGTGCTGTACGCTGCTAGGGTGCGAGCTGGAGCGACAAAGCCTTTGCACCTTTGCACCTCCATTCCTGTACTTTCATCTCTTAGTGTGTATCACTCACTACTAAAACCCCACTACAAGTAGAAGAAGAAAAGGACTGTAAAAGCAACAGAAGCAGTCTGTGTTATGTAAAGGTCAAGTCGCCGAGGAGGCGATCCAATGGCGCGCACTGACTGTGCGTGTTGCCGTGACTCGTCTTGTCGCCGTGAATATGCTCAGCGGACTGCCCTCTCCTTGTCAGCCATTGTGTTGTATGTCACTGTCCAATTAACGCGACCCACCCCTTCATATCGAATTAACGAGAGATGATATGTGAAGGACGCGCCCCACCTCCTTCATCTGAGGCCACCCCTTCCTCGCTCTGACCCCGCAGTAACCCCTGACCTCTGTTGCCATGACGATGCTGGAAGTAAGAGGGCCAGAGCGTGAGAGGTCACTTGCTAATTCCCACCACATTACTTCTGCCCACCTACTCCAGGTCTTAAAATAAAAGCAGCATCATGCCCTGTCCTCCTCTCTGGCCTTTCCTGTGCTCATGTCTCACTCTTCACTCTGTTGGCTCTCCCTCCTCCCTCCTCTTCATGTATTGTTGTTTCCAACTTATCAAACATTCGTGGATGCCTGTTTATATTTTTGAATGCAGTTAGATAGTATGCTGACACCAGGATTATCTTAATTTGGCTAAATGTTGGGATGTCCTTGGAGTCATTCCCAGCTTTGCACAGGGGTGTGTCCCTTTGCAAAGCCCCTCTAAAGCTGAGGGTTTAAATCCTGTCAAAATCATTTCTAAAAGTACAAATAATTTCCTAGCTTCAATATTATCCTTTAAATGTCATATCACGCTATAACTACTGGAAGAGGCATTTGAAATATGGAATGGAAGCTTACTGCTGCTAACATGACAAAAAAATCAGCTTATAATAATATATATAATATAATAATATCTTTTATTATTTTCTTGTTATTACAAGAAAGCAATTTATTCAGTTTTTACAAGAAACTTTTCTTTCACTTTAATGAAACATACTCCAGCTTTATATAGTTTATATAAAGTTTATATATAGCTTTGTATATTGTGTATGTCAGACACTGCATGTGAAAGCAATGAGCTGGTACACTGCAGCTGTTAATTAGTAATATTACATTATTTTGTTAAAGGTCCGTATAGTATAAAGGCAGATGTCCATGTGTTGTTTGATTATAAAGCAGGTCTAGGTTCTATATTAATACTGTGAAAGTATCAAAGCCTCAGTCCACAGAGAAATGCACACAGCCTGTATTCACAAACTGATCCTTAAAACCAGCTGTCAGGACTTTGTGATGTCACAAGGAAACAGTCAACACCGTTAGATATGCCCCAAGCCCCGCCCGCCTGGACCCAATGTCCAACCTTGCAGGATTTGGTTTCTCTGTTTTCCTGAAATCTTCTATATTTTTATTGGATCACTCAGAAAACAGTTGGCCAATTAGAAGAGAGACTCAGAGCCTCCTCTCTTCTGATTGGCTCACTGACCTGTTGTTACTAGAGCTCCAGAGAGAAGCCTGAGAGAGGAGATGTAAAACTACATTGAGATGGTTTTTGGTTCTTAAAACCACAAATATATCTTCTTATGGATCAACACTTCAAATAAAAAACAAGAGAAGAGGAAAATATGGGACCTTTAAATTTGTCATGTATCTGAGTTTTCCATATGATGCAAGACAGAATTTACTAAAATCTGCCAGTAAAGCCCCAATACAGAAACAACTTGAGAAACATAAAAGCAAACATAATTGTGATTCATTAGCTATTTCAAATAAGTTTTAGGTCCCTGGATGTTGGGGTGGTACATGTACCTGCCTGGAAGGTAGAAACAGATGAAAGTATGCTACAGTATGCTATGCTTTGAATATAATTCTTTTAATGTTAAGTGTATTCATGATTAATTTATGTAAAAACACAGGCATAGTCCTTCAAATAATATGTTTCCCCAGTTTTGAGTGGAGCTCGAGTGGTTCCCAACCTGAGAGTCCGCACCCCTCTGAGAGGTAACAAGATAATTTCGAGGGGTCACAAGATAATTAGTGACAGGAGAGAAGAAAAATATTGTTCAGCTAATCAAATTTAGATTTTTTTCCTCTTATTGTTCCATATATTTGCTTATTTATTATAATAACACTGTGGTTGCACGGCTTCGTGGCAGCGCTGCCACAGTAGGCTAATCTCACTGGTCAACACACTGTGCACTCAAAAACATAACTTATCACTTTGTACAAAAAGGGATTCCCCTGAAACTGAATTTCTCTTTAACTGCTTTTCTAATTTCCATTATTCTAACTATCAAGCAGCATTTGACTTAAAGACATTAAATACATACAATTCACTTCAGTCCTTTAGTTGACCCATCTACCAATAAATTCAATGACTAGACTGAGAGGCAGAGAAACAAGCAGAAAGTCAGACTGAGAAAAAACAAGGAGGTGAGAATAAATGTACGAATGTGTGTGTTTGAGTGTGAGTGTGAGTGTGTGTGTGTGTGTGTGAAGTTTCATTCAGACATAGAACAGAACAGTGTGCGCCACGAGGTGAGGTGTTGAGATGAAAGAAGAAGAAAAGAAACCTGATCTGAAAGTCTGATCTGAAATCTGAAGGCTCCTGTCTTCCCATCCTGCCCTGAGAGCATCCTGCCCTGAGAGCATCCTGCCCGTCTGGCCCCGGAGAAGGACAGACAAGAAAATGAGATAGGACCAGGGAAAGAGCTGGACCGCTTCAGGCATTTGTAGCCACCACCTTTTGTTTTGGAAGTATGTTGCTTTTGGCTTTTTTCCTTTCCTCCTATTTCCCTACACTCTCCCTTCTTTTTCTATAACTCTTCTCTTCTCTTCTCTTCTCTTCTCTTCTCTCCTCCGGCGCTGTGACATTTAGAAACCTCTCACCAAAAAGGCTTTCTTTGCTCTCTTTCTTTATTTTCAATTCTATCACCTTGGCTCTCATTCTCTGGCAGTCTCCGCTGTCAACATTAGCATTAAGCCAGCATTAGCTCTCTGCTGTGCGCTCTCTTTCTGGCCCCCATTTTCCAGCTCAGCATCTGGGTGCAGATAATACAGGAACACCGTCACCTTATCGCCTCAGAAATGACACACTGGGCTCACGCCGTGTCAAACGGCGCTTCGTCCTGCTCCTATCTGATCCCCAGACAGAAAATAAAAAACTGCCCTGCTGAGCCCTGAGTGTAAGACACAGCCTTGGATCTTTAATGGAATGTGTGTGTGCGAGTGTGTGTGTGCGTGTCTGAAATCTCCCTATCTTTGTCAGTGTTCACTGCCAGCATCAGTATAATGAAGGAAGCACAGATATAATCTGTCGGTGTGTTTTTTTTTTTGTAACTACAGCAGGAGGAAAAGTCTGCAGTGAATACTGAGCGTGAGGCCACTGAAACCGGATGATCTCATTTAACCGACAAAATACATCATCATACGTCATCACAGTCTCGCCTCCTACCTGCGAGCACAGGTCCTGGGGCTTCCCCGCCATGCCGTGGGGCATCTCCCTGCAACGCGTGGACAGGTTGAGGATGGCCGTGGCCGCCATGTGGGCTGCCTCCATGTCGTGACTGTAGTCGAAGCTGCTCTTGCTGCAGGTGCTGCTGGCGCTGCTGCCCCCGCCCCCGCCGCCTCGTCCCGCGCCCCCTCCTCCACCTCCACAGCTCAGGCTGCTGCTGCTGCTGCTGGGAGCGTAGGTGCTGGTGGTGCTGCTGGCCGAGCTGGAGTTCTTGCAGTAACGTTTCGCTGTGGGACAAATCAAGAAATTTAAATGCACATGTAACATGATTTAGAACGTGGACGTAGCTAAAGGTGAGTAAATTCAGGTTAGGTAGGTTGATCCTCGAGTTTAAAGTTAGACCCTGCAATCCTGTCATATACCGTACAGCTTTGACTAATATAAGAATATTTTCCTTGCCAAACTTTTCTAGTTCTTAGATACTTAAAACAAACAAACAAAAGATTTATGTTCCATTAGATTTGGTATCTTAAATGACCAAAAAATAATCTGCCACAAAATATTCTTGTGACCCTGTTATGTGTTATAAAAAGTTTTATGCTCATTGAAATCTCCTGAAAATCTTGATTGTACACTTATTATCTTCAACATCAAGTCTAAGCAACAAGTCCTCCAATCCATACGAGCATGTCGGCCGTTTGTTCCTACCCTCAAATACCACCCAGAGGAGCGTTTCCTAATATAGCACCACTACCGGCGGCATGCGTTATGGACCATGGTTGTCATGGTTACCATAATGAACACATCTGTACCAAGAACGGCGTACCAAACGTTGACGTGGTTGCTATAGTAACAGTAATTGATTGGTTAGGTTTAGGAAAAGATCCTGATTTGGGTTAAAATAACTACTTCCTATCCATCCACCACAACCTCCTCCTGACGCGGACTTTGTCTCTCTTTATAGCACGTCACCGCACTTTTCCCTTTGCTCCTGTCACAATTACTACGACCACTAGATGTCGCCTAGCAACAAAACGTAACTATGGGTCGTAATAAGCTGCTGAACAAACGACCTGTCTGCTCGTTTTTCACAGGGAGGACAGTCTCATTGAAAGACTACATCCAACATGGGAGAAATGAAAAACAGGAATGGCATAGTAGTGGTAATAAAATAGTACCGTCATATCCTTTCGGGGAGGTGTCCCGTTGCCCGTGAACTTTGGGTGCGATGGCCCGTTTCCCGTACACTTGGTGGCTGTTGCTGCCGTCGAAGGCGCTGTAGTCGAAGCTGGTCTTGGAGTACTTCTCCAGCTCCTTGGCCAGGTTGGAGCGGGGCGTGCTGGTGGAAACATTGTTCTTGTAACCATACTGTGGATAGTCCAGTTGTTTGACAAAGCACATAGGCCTGGAAAATAAATGACGAGGGGGTGGAAGTTGGACCGAGGCACTCAACATTGCCCAGGGGAAAGAGAGGGAACTTGGAGGGGTTTGGATTAAAAAATAAAATGGGCAGATGCAAGGGGAAGGGGGCAGACTGTTATGGTCAAACTCCAGGAGAGGAATATCAGGGGTGATACTGGTGGATGGAGGGGTGACTTAAGGTGCAGGCGTCCCTTTTATATGGCTGTTTTTCTCCTCTTTCTTTAAAAAAAAAAAAAACACATCCTCCTACAAGAGTTTTTCATGCATAGTCAATAAAAAACTGAAAAAATTGAATTTTCACATCTTTTATTACTTTTGCATTCTTTTGATATGCCTTTATCATTTGATATGTGTTTATAGGGTGACGGGCCTTAATCTAAGACCTGGAGAAATGAGATGTAAGATCCTGATGCTGTGATGTTCGGTTAGATATAAATATAAAATTTACAATTACTTAAGACTTTTCATCATAACATTTCATAACTATCAAAGAAAGTCTCAGTCAAAAAGCTCTGGCTGTGATAAATGTGGCCAATTTTGTTGAAATCTAATAAAGCGATTTGCCTTCAATAGTGAGCGGTGAAATGAAGACGCAGTCTCTTCAAAGTATTCTCAGGGGACAGGAGAACATAAACATGAAACAAAAAGGGGAGACTTAAAATCTCAATAGCGTTACTGAACGCAGGAGGAAAAAAAAAAACAAAAAACGTTCCAACATGACTGAACAGCAGCTGTTCTATGTGTAAAGTATTAAAGTGTAAAGTTATTCTTTTTGAATCCACATTCATTTGCCCTTTAAGTGACCAATTTACCACCCATTTCTCATTAAAGGTATACCTGAATTCCATAACACATGATGCGGGTAATAGTGTAGAGTGAATACTACCTTAAGACTCGGTCAGAGGCCTGGTTGGACTTGGGGCCGTCACAGCTCTGGTGCTTCTCCTGGGCTTTGGCCAGCTTCTCGGCTGCAGCGATGGGACATCCTGACAGACTGAAATGAGAAAGCAACTCAAGTCGCACGGTGGACTTCACATCTGAGACACACACACACACATATTACACTGAATGCACATGTCGTTCGGCTTGTTGGAGTGCCGGGCCGAGAAACAGCTCGCGCACATCTGTCTGTCTGTCAGCCGATCGATCGCACCGTCTACAAGTGTGAAAATACCTGACTATAATTTAGTCTCTGCTTAAAATGCAAAAATCTTTTCATTTTCATCACTTTTCGTACTTTAAATAACAACACAATTGGCAACAGCTTGCACGTTTCTGGTTGAGCAGCTTGAAATAATTCTCAGAATAGAGATTCCCATATGGACAAATGTGCATTTTTTGTGTGTATTCTGTAGCATCTTGTTTCCTTCAAACACATGGTGACAAGACACACACACAAGCACACAGAGCACACACTCATATACACTTGGGATCTACACCTACAGTGTGTTCCAACAGAAGTCAGAGCTGTAAGACTTCCTCATGACAACTAACTGACCAAATGTGACAAAAGGTTCATGCTGTTATCCTTAACCCCTATTATTCTCCATCCAGTCTGTCAACTGCACTGTGTCTGACCACGGTGGAAAAATTATCCATGACAACGGCCCGAAGCCAAGAGTACCTGTCATCAGACGTGCATGAATGTGTGCAGGGATGAGGAGAGTGTGTACCGGGTCGGGGAGTGTGAGGGAGTATACGGAGGTTCATATCAGCTCTTTCTAGTAAAAGTGAAAGTTTACTGTGCGTGTCCATGTGTGTGTCTATTTTGCGGCGCGGCCGTGTCACTGAGCACAGCATGGAGGCATCGTGTTCCTCCCAGGTCTGCACCTCTCCTGTCACCCTGGCTGAGTGGCAGATAGGTGCTAATGGCTGCTGCTCTGCCCGACTCCCTGAGCATCTGCTCTGGGTGACACTCCTCTTTCACTGTCACCTCACCCCGTCTGACAGCACTGGCAAGAGCGCCCTGCTATTTCAGTCTCTCCCTCCAAACCTGCACCTGATAGATGCCATTTTTCACCATGAGCTGATAAATGATTTATGCTGTGGAAGGTGTGAATTGCTGCATTCTAATCAGCCTCAGTTTAAACTATGGGGTTGCTAAACAGATGAATCCTTCCTTCTTATAAGAGAGACTGCAAGCATCCACACACAAAATAATAATGTGCTGGAAAAACAAAAAGAATGTTTAACAATAATTAAACAAGTAGATGAGATGGAAACATCAAAATGAAACAAGAACAATACCTCAAAAATAAATCAAAAAAATGAGCCAACTTCCATAGTAAAGAAAGGAGGGTGCAACATGGACAGTGCCAGTTTCATATAGGCAGGCTGTCACTTACCTTCTGTGGGAGTTTCTGTTGCTATTGACATGGCCGCGTCCCGTGCAGCCAGGCGTAGGACACTTAAGAACATTCTCATACATTGCCACAACTTCATTCAGACAGGAGATAGGAGTGAAAGACAGGGAAGGTTAGGAGCCCCCTTTACAATCAAGCATGAGCTCTATTAGTATGTGAGGAGCTTGGCATTATAAACATCATTAAGAAATGAGCCTGTGTGAACCCAAATGACCTCTTCTTCATTTTAATGAACACTAGTTTGAAAGGGCAGGCAAGGTTTCCCACCATATTGCTTCCACTTATCCGGCCCTTTCAAATTAGTATTCATGGAGTGGCGACAGTCATGAATAAAAAGATGTCATTTAAGTTTAACAGGACAAAGCCAGCAAGAGACAGAGATGGAGGGAAATTTTGGGCATGCAGAGAGCGGCGCAACCAACAGCTAGCAATCATGCAAAACACAAGCCTTGAAATCAATGGAAGAAGCAGACAGATGGAATACAGCTTCTTGATAGAGTGCGCTTTGTTATCGTCCGCACGTTGTTAGGGTAGTGAGTGCAGTCTTCAATACCATTTACCATTAAAACAGTCCATAACTGTCTCAGATCCCCTCGGCAACCCACCAATTAGATTAATGATCTATGGATGTCCGAGAGGAGCTGCCGGAGCGCTGCAGGCGGGGGCGCGGGGAAGGGTCGTCTCGACACCGGTGGAATGCCGGGCCAAACCCCACCGGCATCAGCTTCATCATTATCACCCCCTTAAACTTTAACCCCTCATCATCCTCCTTCCCTTACATACTAATTGGTATTCGGTGCAGGTAATTGGACAAAGCCTGCCACCTCAACATGCCACTAGCCAATACATTATGCATATCCCACTTCTGCCGTGGCCTCTGCATAGAGACAGACAGAATGGCAACAAATTAAAGCAGTGGGCCTGATTCAGAGGGCACCCATAGAACTACAGGGATTAACTACAGCGGAATAGTACGAGGAAGCAAGCGGGAGGCAATGTAGTTTGCCACTCTAAAGACAACGCGAAGACTTCGGGATTCAATATTTTCATATTTTACAGAAAAAGAGCAACAATGAGCCAACGGGAATAGCAGTTGATGAATTTAAGATACAATTTAATCATCATTTTTTTTTACATTTCCCAAGGAAGAGTCTGGCCACACTGTGTGATTTCCCAATTAAATGAAGCCATTAATAATACATTGTCCATTCAGGCCAGCAAATGTGTTAATAGGGGAGAGAGACTCGCCTGTAGCTGAGTCTGCCCTGCAGGCAGTCCCATGTCCGACTTGTACTCATCTCTACCTTTAAAAGGGGCCATAAGAATGTTGACAGAAACATGGTGGGTGGGTGGGGTGGTGGGGGGAGCGGGGGGGGGGCTGCTTTTTCATAGGCCGATAATGCAGAGACTTACTGATATACTCACGCTACCTAAAGCACGCCGCCTTCTAAACAACGCACAAACACGGAGAAGAGAAGTTTTTTTTTTTGTGATCCAAAGCATCCTGTTCTGTGTTTGTGGTATCATTTCCCCCAAAAGTCAGCCCGATCAACACAAGTGAGGAACAGGAGGAGGAACACTGACATCATATTCCAAAAATCTCCAGTGACAATCAATTCAAGCCCTTTCCAAATTCCATCCTGAGGCTCTTGATCCCAGTCAAGGTCAACTGCTCTGAGTCATTTCACATTTCTGGGAGACGAGTACATCTCAGGTTAGGGGACTTTTGTGTGAGCGGCGCTCCACAGAACAGGACTCATATGTGACACTGCTGGTCTTTACAAGCCGGGCTTTAATGGTAACTAATTTCTTTGCCATTATTAAAACCTCTTTTATTTTGATTGCAGTCTGGGTCATGGCAGATCATAACTTGATTTTCACGCTGCGGTTAATGAAACGTGTAAAGGGGCTTTTATTGAGAAGTTTGCACAAGGTGAATGGGACTAAATAGCCAGGGTGAATTCTCAAAAGGGAAGACTCACTATTCAGCCAAGGCTAATGTTTATTGCCACTTCACTTGATCTGTGGCTTAGAGATATGATACTGCCTTTCTATTCAATATAACTTAATTGAGTGGGGAATACAAATAAATGAATGGGGGTTCATGGCATGGATGACTGAAGCAGACACAGTGTTATCAAGGTCTGTGAGCATTTTCAACTTTTGTGAAAAATGAAATGTTAAGACTCAATTACCATTAAAAAGCTACACGAATTAATGAAATGCAACAGCGTGACATTTAACCTCTTCTTATCAGTCATCCATGCACTGACCAGCCATGCTGTGAAGACGCATGCAACCCATGTACAGTAACCCCCCCCCCCCCCCCGATCATACGCCCTCAATCACTGTCAGTCAATCTCGCAGAGGAGAAGGTCTCTTGCAGTCAAGTAAATCACCGATTGACAGCTCTTGACCATCCCACCAATCACCGCGTTGCCACTATTTGCACATCACTAAGGCCTCATTTCCCGCCTCATCACCACGGCACACTAGGCAGGCAATCAGCAAGCAAATCCACGGCCCCATGCAAAATGTCACAGGAGAAGCGCAGCTGCAACCCGTCTGACCCCTCACTGTACACCCCGCTGAAATATCAAACACGGTTCAACCACGACAGCAAGCACACAGGACGTGCCAGACACAGCAGTGGTCACGGGAAACATGCCGATCCCTGAACATCAAAGGACATCAAGGCCACAGGTTGGGTAAATAAAGTAAACCTATGTTTGGTTTGGCTGGTGTGTGTGACAGATATGCTTACTTTCTGGTGGCACCCGGTCTTTGTGCGGACAGCCGGAAAGGCTCCTGTGGTGCGGGTACAGGCCGGTCACGTGACCCGTGCCATCACAGCCCGGTGTCGGACACCGGCTTTCCTTCTTGTCCGCACGTGAAGCGTCTGTGAACAGAGAGGCACATGGAGGTGATCACATATTCCCCACATGGTTGCTTACTTTTCACTTATTTTATAATATATATTTTTTGACCTTAACGAGCAGTAGTGAGTGATCTGTGGACTTTTTTTTCCCTGGGTTTCGCAACTCAGGCTACAAACAGGCTACTGCCCAATCCTCTGACTGATGGAGGTTTTACCTGCAGCCTGAGAGGAAGACTGTGGACACCACTTAAAAACATATGATGATATGACATTTTAATGCAGGAAATAGAAGAACTTTTAAGTATTTCAGTTGAACAGCCTCTGACTTCATGTCTGAAACTAAATCTACACTCTTGACTATTGTAATCAAACATATTTGAAATTTAAGTGGATTTGTTTTTTATTTATAGGCTATTATTTATTGCTATATTTAAAGACGCAATAATTAGCTTGTTGACAGATCTTTTGATCATGAAGTTTGTTTACTGCAATGAAACTGTGAACATCTGTGAAATATTTCAACTCCAGTGTTAGTGACCTTCAACAAAAAGAGTTTGATCTTCCAGTTTAGCTTGAATTAAGAACGTATCATTAAAGCCACTCCTGGCTCCACGTGACAGTTTGTTGACCTGAGTGAGACAATGAGGGTCCAAAACACACACACACACACACACACACACACACACACACACACACACACACACACACACACACACACCGGATAAGATTGTCTTTCCCTTCCCAAAACCTGGTTCTCCTATTTCACCCAAACCCAGGTCAGATATGGTTACCACCAAAAAGCCGGGTTGCCATGGCGTGCCAACTGGCAATGTTTCTGCAAATGCAACCACCCACCTGTAAAACACGTTGACCCTCAAACAAGGTCAAAGATTCTTCTTACTGTGAACAATGGCTCTTGTAGGATGCAGTTTACACTACCATTTAAAGACAACGGGGAAAATTTTCAATAGCAGCCTATAATATCTTTTCATAGCAGCATTACAGAAGGTGAGATTATCAAGTTTGAGCCACGTGTGTGACTGAAACTTTTATCAGGAGCTAGTATTAGGGAGGTAGACTATTTTAAGCTTTAAAGGCAGGTGTAACTTGGTAGCTCCACCTAAGGCACCTACTGACAAACCAATATAAACCCAGAGGTTGCTGAGTAAGAGCATACAAGAGGAATAATCAAGTGAAGGACAGAATTAAGAGGTGGCGTGGAGCACACCTTCTCATACATTTACAAGCGAGTCACCAAACCAAATCCCATGTCTCATTAATCAGAAAAAAAAATGCACCTCATTATCCTCTGAGGCTGTCATCTGTCTATGTCACGTTAGGGGCACATGGGTTTGGTACAGTATTGCTACGTCATGTCTCTCTCTCTCTGTCTGTCTGCCACCGGTGCAATAAAGGCAGGGGAATTTCATGTTGATAAAGAACTTGGTCTGCATGTAAAACGTGGCTTCTTAATAATGGCTTCTTTTCAGGCACATTATTACACTGACTGTTAGTGTTTGAACAGTATGTTGGAAACAATTCCCCATTTCCACATGCACGGACGCACACATACACATACACATATGTGATGGCCGTGCGTCTGCCACGTTTTCCATCGCGGAGAGTGGAGGCAGCCGAGTGGAAGGCATATTAGAAAGCAAGGGATATTGATTGTGGCTGGGGATGGTCTGCGCTTTGCATAGCAAATGGCCCCCATTACCATACCATCTCTGGATAATTAATGTGCAGTCAGTGGGCCTGTCGTTCGTTATCGGTCATTCTGGTACTGTTCAATTTTCATCTCAGCCTCATGTTTCTCTTAGGGAGCTGGTCTCTACTCTGAAACCCCCCCCCCCCCCGCCCGAACCTCCACCTCCACCCCTACCCTTCTCCCTTGCCATGTTCTGTTTTATAAATCATACAGAAGAACCCTGGTCAACGAGTGACTGCTCCTATCTTGCCCGGGGAAAGATGTTATCGTGATGCAACTGTCTCGCGTCCTCTCATTATTCCTACATTAGCCAGACACAGGGGCGATAGGAGGCTCTTGAAATTAACATTTGTGTGGCATTTAAGTTGCAATATATACCTGCTGTGAATTGTGTGGCATTTTGGTGTAATATCACCCTGCTGTGAATTAGCATGCTCTTATTTGTTGCTCTCATCTGATATCTTCCTTATGGGAGGAAACCCTCACCTAAGTCTGAACATTGTTGCAGTAAAGGATACGATGTGAGGCATAATTATGAGTGAAACAAGGGAGCTGGCAATCAGACCTCTGCAAATGCCAATGCAATGTGTCTTCTCTGTAGGTATACAAGTACATCCAGTACACACTCACCACTAATGGAATACTACAGTCTTTGTAATATATGTATATTTGTGTCGCTGTAGTATCACTCAGCATCCATCTGAATGTTAGGTCATAAAAAAACATAAAAAGATTATTTGTTCCCTACAGAATGAATCCTTTCTAAAAGCAGACGGCCTCTGTTTTGTAGCTTCCTCTCCCAAGTGCTTGCTCAGGTTTAAAAATAGGCAGCTTTACCCCAAGCTGCATCGCAGGGATGAGATTTGCGGTCCTAACAGGCCGTGCAGATTGCCATTACTTATGCCTGACAAGCCTACCCTCTGATGTTTCCATGCTGGCCTATTTTAACAACATAAGCTGCTGCTGCTGCTCCCGCTGCTACCGAGATGCGAATTTCCAAATTGGCTGAAAAAGCTTGTCCTGGGGTTATAGTGAGGTTCCCAGAATGCATGTGGGCTGTCTAGTCTCCGGTGCAGGATAGATACAATACAGAGCCCAACAGTGGCAGACAAACATTTTACCTGAGCTTGTTAAATGAGGTAAACATGCCTACACTTGTGTAGATATGGTTTCTAAAGGAAGCTCATGTGCATCTGAGCGTGTCCCTGTTTGAAAGAACCACTCACCTTTATGGTAGAAAGGCTTCTTCATACCATCAGGAAGACGGGCTTTACGCTCAACACCATAGCCGTGCCGCGGGCCGTGGTCTTCATGGCTATACCTCACCCCATCTCTCCTGGCAGCCTCGGCTGCCATTTTATCTCGCATCGCCTTGGCGCGTTCTGACTCTAGTGCAATGGCCTTCTCCAGGAGGGACAGGTTACCCTTTGTCATGTCAAACACTTCTTCAGATCGGTCTGATGTCACTGAGGCGGTGTCCTCGTCAAAGTCTCGGTGGTTGGTGTGATACCGGTCATCCTGCGCGCAACTGGAGAAAGCTTTGGAGCGCGGGCTCAGCTGCTCCTCCAGCTTCATGAGATTGTCCATGTCGGAATAGTTCCTATCAAGCGTCCGCCTGTCGTCTTGGCTATGGTGGAAATCCCCATAGCCATGATGCTGGGGCTGTTGATTGGGATCTCCGCACGAGAAATGATTTTGCTGGGATGGTCCATTTCGGTCAGCGGACTTTGTTTCGCTTAGTTTCCGAGCCAGGTCGAAGCATTGGTTTCGTAGGCACTCCAGACTGCTTAAACACACTTCCTCGTCGCTGTTATCTATTTGTCCATTACTGGTGGTCTTAACTTGTCCATTACCACCATTGTGTGCATTTCCCCCATTGTGGGTACAGTCAGTCTCGTCCCCGTTCTCAGCCCTACCATCCTCAAACTCCTGTCCGTCTAAATTGTCAGACAGCACCGCACCGTGACCTTGTGCCAGCAGTTTAAGGGAGTCCACAGTCTCCCGAACCACGTCACTGTCAACGTCCAAACTGAGATCACCCCTCTGCGTTTCATCGCCTTCCCCCTCTTCTTCTTCCTCCTCTTCCTCCTCCTCTTCCTCTTCCTCCTCCTCCTCCTCCTCCTCTTCCTCGTCCTCCTCCTCCTCTTCTTCCTCAGCACTGTTTGAGGAGTTGCTGTTCATCTCAGATTCTGTCATGGCTCGGTTGGCGGCGTCTTCTGCGATCTTGCCCAGGTTTAGGAGGGACTTGGCCACAAGTTCGTCATAGTTTTCATACTCGTCATTGTTGTTGTTGTCCTTCTCAGTCGTCAGGCCAGATTTGGCATTGCTACCGCCACCTCCACCACCATCGCCCTCGCCCCCCTCGCCGTTGCTCATCTGATCGTCCTCTGTTGGACAGAAAGAACAAACGTCTTGTAATTTCATTTCCATCATTCTATTTTACTGGTAAATCAGATTTCTGGGCTTGGTCCATCTAAATTGGATAAGGAACTCTTTGCTTCCCCTAATAATTTACTTTGAGAGTCTTAACAGCAGCTCGTGTTCTGAATTGTGAATCACCACAGGAAGTTAAATATAGCGGTTTGGGAAAGTTCCAGAGAAACATGCTCTGGCAAATGAGAATCTGTGAAACCAGGGACTATATCTTTGGCGAGTATATTTTTTGTACTAATTTCTTGGATGTCTTTAGAAAGATAGTCACAGGTCTTATGATTAAAAATATTTCTAAAGATTTCTGTAAATAGTTGCAAATGAGGTAACATTTTATTCATTTTTTAGCAGTTTAAATCAAAACATTGTGAGAAAACCTTTGAATTGGAAAGAACATTTTTTTTTTTTTTTTTTTTTTTTTTTTTTTTTACAGGAGATTCAAAAATCTGCAAGATAATATGGTGTTCCATCTACAACAAGATGAACCCCAGTCGGCAGCAATTCATAGTTTGCTAGTAAAGTTCTTTTTTCATTCAATCATCAGTACCTTTTGAATTCCTTTCACTGCCTAATTGATTCTGACAGGCTGCAAAAGGTTACTGAACCTCTTCTGTCAGTAATTTCAAGCACTCACTCCTGGAGCACTTCCAATCTCTCCTTTCACATTTCCGCCCTGAGCCGCCAAGAGCACATTGCTCACATTGGCGTCACATTTGCCACTTACATTCCTGTGGAGAAAATGAACCCAGAGGCCCACACACGGTAAATCATAAATAAAGAGTTTCCCTTCTGGTGGGAACAAGCAAATCACAAGACAGTAAATAGTATTAATAGAACTAAAAAAAAAATTTAAAAAAAGTGTGATTGTTTGTGATGAAATATTAATTTTCACCAGGTTGAAAGACTTCTCCGTAATCAAAATATACACAGTGATTTGAACTTGAGTGTGTTCATCAGATCAAAGTTACAAATATGAAGCATATAGTGACAATGGAATATGCATAAAAACAAATCTGAATATCATCCAGTTATATACGTAGGCTACACAAACACTGACTTTCCTCACATACACACATCCTTACACACCACACACTCCAATCTAATGAGAGCAACATAATATTGGCGCTCGGGGGCTGAGGGCTTTAGAGCGGGAAGAGGGAACAGTCATGAATGACCAGGCACATATTTTGACAGTGGAAGGCTTCTTACTGCAACCTTCTGCACCAGGGGTTTAATTTTTGTTGGTATGAAACATGGCACAGGAAAGCAATTTGAAGAGCAATCAAGGTACATAAAAGGGATATGGAACCGAAACAGATTAAGGAGGGAACAGAGAGGCTGCCCTGCCCTGAATTGGCTTTGGATTATAGCTACAGAGATGTGCATGCCACTGAGAAACACAGGGAAGCTTCACAACGTCACCTCTATTACATTTAGGAGATTGGAATCTGCCCAGCGACCATCCAGCACTGCTGTCTTGGGGCGAATGGAGAACATAGTAATGATGCATATGGAAAGAGCTTCCTGCCTTTTTTTTTTTTTTTTTTTTGAAAAGGAATTAGCTGCAGATTAAAATGTTGTTTCCTTCTATTCCATAAATATACACGTATCATAATGATCATAGAGCTCAATGCAGAATTTATACTAACTACACACACTGTGCCGTGTGAATACCAATTATCAAAAATAGATGGTAATCAGCTCCCACCCATAGAAAGACAGGCTGTTGACAGGCTGCAGAGACGGTGGCAACAGTCCACCGTCACCGAGTTAAGGGTAAGGTCTCTTCTGTGGGCTCTAATGAACACCAGTCTGTAGAGATGTTTTCACATGTCTGCAAGAAAATAAGAGCATGGCTGCTGAGGTGCCACATCAACACTGGGTGGGTATAGAGCTACACTCCAAACAGGGTTAACACACTCCTCTCTCAGAGCTTCACTCTTAATTGGACTTGAAGGCACTGTCAGGTCCAATCGTGATGCAGGGGTGCAAAGCAGAATCTGCTGGAGAGAAACCTGCCAAATCTGGTGTTGGGCACGTCAGGGGGGTGAGGGGAGTGGGGGGTGGGACATATGGGGCAGGAGTTTCACAAAACTAGGTGGTATTTTTGTAACACGTTTCATGTCAACAGCTCTAATATTTATAAGATTAAAATATATCAAGGGACCAGCAACTTCCGACTTCTAATATCTTCTGATATTAAAAATGATTGGCTTGTTGGCAGCCTTTTTCCTGTGGGTGGGTGGGGGGGGACATATGGGGCAGGAGTTTCACAAAACTAGGTGGTATTTTTGTAACACGTTTCATGTCAACAGCTCTAATATTTATAAGATTAAAATATATCAAGGGACCAGCAACTTCCGACTTCTAATATCTTCTGATATTAAAAATGATTGGCTTGTTGGCAGCCTTTTTCCTGTGTCTTATGAGGAAGGTTAAAACTTTTCAGTGGAAAATAATTGCAAAGGGGAACCACGCTGATGTTAGTCATCAATTTAGATAAATTTTCTGTAATTAGAAAAAGTCGTAAATATTTTTTTTAAAAAGAGCTCTCTGAAAAAGAGAGAAACGAGCAAACAAGCAATTTGGTGCCAGAGCACAGCTCCTCCAGCTTCTAGTGGCTTCAGACTTCAGGAGCAGCACAAGAGTCTGTCTTTCAAAATGAGTTGATACAGGAATAATCCACTGTATGGTTTCAGCCGTGCTGGATTCAGATCTTTCCTCTCATTCTAATGCAAAACAGTCTGTGTTTGAACATCACACGTCCAACTGCCCTAAACTACTTTATCTAATTCATAAAATATAGAAATAAAGGCTAAACCACAGGTATGCAAATGGAGCATGAAAAATAATGGTAACATTTTTAAATATATAGAGAATCTCTAAAGGAATAGTTCACCATTTATTCGCTTTATGGCGGAGAGTTGGACGAGAAGATTGACATCACTCTCGTGTCTGTATGAAGCTACAGCCAGCAGCCAGTTAGCCTACCTCAGCAGCTAGCCCGGCTCTGTCTGATGGTAACAGACCACGTCTACCAGCACCTCCACAGCTCGTTAATCAACATGAAATCTTGTTTGTAAAAAAAAAAAAAGAAAAAAAAGAAAAATGAAGTGTAAAAACAACAATTTGCTGTTTTAGAGGAGGTTCTGTGCCCAAGTGTTTCTTGGCTCAGCTGACAGTTGCCAGGCAACCAGTGGAGACTCCAGGATGTTACTGTTGCCCAGCCAAGAAATAGTCTGACACATGACCCCTCCACATAAAAATGGATGTGCCGCGTTAGATACTGGTAGGTGGACTTTGCTACGTTCGAACAGAGACAGGCTGGATGTTTCCCCTTTGTTAGCAGTGTTTGCGCTAAGCTAACTGGCTGCTTCATCCTTGGTATGATCTTCTCATTGCTCAGTCAGAAAGCGAATAAGCGGAGTTCCTAAGATGCTCAACTATTCCTTTGAAAAATTGTTTAAAACATCTGTCCATATTGTCTCATCCAGCGTGATGATGGGAACGTGTTCTCACCTTGCCCTTGACCCTGCTCTCCTTCCTCCTCCTCTCCCTCTTCATAGTCCACTTCCTCTACCGCTTCCTCCTCCTCCTCCTCCTCCTCCGCCTCGTCCACCCTCTCATCATCACCCTCCTCCTCCTCCTCCTGCTCCACCTCTACATCCTCTTCTTCCTCCTCGTCCTCCTCCTCCCCCTCTGCATCGCCTCTCTCCACCTCCCCATCTTCGTGCTCCATTTGCTCCATGTTGTAGTCCATGTAGCCTTCCACCTCCTCCTCTTCCTCCTCCACTTCTCCCTCTTCCTCCTCCTCCTCCACGGCTCCTTCCTCCTCCTCTTCCTCCCGATCGTCCATCTCTTCGGTCCCGTCGGTCTCGTAGCACTCCTCCATCGTGGAGTTGTCCATGTCGTCTAGGTAGGTGCTCCTCTTGGGGGAGGTTTCCAGGGTTTGTCTGTCTAGACTCTTTCTCTTCTTGGCCAGAGGGCAGCCATACACACTGCAGAGGAGAGATAAGAGAACAACCATTAGCTGTTAGCCTCACCTAGCCATATATGCTAACACATATTTGCACCCAGCCCTCTGTAAAGTTCTGTGGTTTACAAACTACATTTGAAAGGAAGACAACAAGGAACAAGGGGCAACGGCTCTTGAATTCTTCTTCTGGGAAAAATATGAAACTTTGCTTAACCGACCTTAATTAGACATGTGCTCATTAACTATTGAGCAATTAACATAAAATGCTCAATTTCTTCTAGACAACAACTGCAAGGGGTAAAATCAGGATCTTTGAAGCAGAGGAATCAGTTTACTTTGACATTCGTTCATATTCAGGTAACATCAATTTATTCTCTTCGCCGTGCGTTCTCTGCGAACACTTCGCTCCAGACTGATACGCCCTCATTCTGACGTGAAACCAAGTGCAGCGAAAACACAACAACAGCCAGTCTGGAGCTGTCTGCGAGGGAGAAAAGACAACCTGTAGCCTGATTAAAGCACCTCGGGTTTTAATGTATTCTCTGGCTCCCCTCGGCAGCAGGGGGACAGATCCTAATCTGATAATCTGATAATCTGTGTATTCGCTCAGGCTATTGATCACAGGGGCTTAATCCATTTCACTCATCAAACCTCTGAGAGCCTCCGAGCTGCTACCTGGGCCCCCCACCCCTCCTTGCAGTGGAAGTGTGTGATGTTAAAAACGTGTGCTGCTGTTTGTGCGTTTATGTGTATTGTGTGTGTGTGTGTGTGTGTGTGTGTGTATGTGTGTGTGTTGTAGCCGTTCACACGTATGTGGCACGTTTGAACAAAGGCACCCACACAGTCGGACTTATGATGAGTTCTGCTGAGTGTTTTGGCCATCAAATAAACTCTCTGTCCAGGCTCCAGTGTAAGAGAGCTAAACACGCTTTGGGCATGTTCACTCAGCTGTGAAATATCCCTGGCTCCTATTTTTACAACCTCTGGACATTTCCCCAGCTCCACGCTACTTAGAGTAAGACCTGATGTGAATGAATGGCACAAGGCTGTGTGTGTGAGAGTAAGAAAATGGTTGTTGTTAGTCAATGTGTGCTGCTTTTGTGGTGGAGCGACTATGGAAAAGGCTTATCGCAGTGGTTAGGTGCTAATGGTCTGTTGCAGGATGGAGGACTGCAGTCTTAGAAACCCATTTCTGTTCCTTCTTTTTCTCTGTTTTTCATGTCAGTGTGTCCCACAGGCCAATATCCTATCTATCCTCCCCTCTCCCCTCTCTCTCGCTCTCTCCTCAGTCCCGCACGTCCATCAGTCAGTCAGGGTCCAGTCACCTGGCAGGCTCAATCTCGCCAAGCCCAAGGATTCCTTAATGGTCTGACCCCCTGCACCCCCTGCAACCAGGGGCCTCATTTCATTAATCTAAGCCCACATGGAAACTCATTCCCTGCCTGACAGCCAGACCTCTCCCCCAGGGCAGTGTGAGGGTCTGCGGGACAGTGGAGGGGGTGGGGGTGGGGGGTGGGGGTGCTGCGGCACTGTGATCAATAATGCTTGTGACCAAACATCTCAAAAGCACATTAAAATGCCACTCATCCTGGCCCCTCCGTTCCAGGGCCCTCTCCAAATAAATCAAGGGCCGGTCCCAGCAGGTTAGCAGCTGCCAATGCAGGCGGGCTGGCAGGAGAGGAGAGGATAGGTGAGTGGGAAGAAGGAGAGGGAGGGGCGGCAGGGATGGAAAGAGGGGAGAGGGAAAAGTGGTGTGGGAAAAGGCAGACAGACGCATCCCCTCACCACTCCTCTCCTCTCTCCGTCTTCCCGTTCTGCCTCCCCACCTTCATTGTAACAAGAAAGCGGCCTTAAGGTAGTCTTTCGCTGTCGCGCATTAAGCCACCGCGTAGCTCACTGGCTGACAGGTATTAATGCGACTACACCTGAGTCACTCTGAAAAATGGTTGTTGAGTTGCTGTAATTGCTCTGCAACATCAGCTAATAGATAGCAAATAATAAATACTTGGCTGTGTATTTTTCCATTGTATGTTCAAAAGGAGTCAAGTGCACTTCATTATTTTGGGTCAGGACTGTACAAACAAAGAGGCCTATGATAGATAGAGGGCGAACATGCTTAAAAAAAAAAAAAAAAAAAAACTTGACTACGCTAAAAGTTCCACCTACAGTGCCGTAGAAATGTGTTTGAAAGCTCCTGCTCAGTTAAAGCGACCGCAGAGCTTCTCCTATGTAAATGACTTTTTAATCACGCTGGTGTTAAGAGGCGTCGCATGCAGAATAACTTTGGTCTCAGGTGTCCTCCCGTCCCTGAGCTGTCAGGTTGTTGTGACACTGTGAGAGGTGTGTTTGCCCCGACGCTCCTATAAGCCCCATGATGACTAAGCCACAGGAAGCCTCCACGGCTCCGCCATCCCACGTTCCCTAGCTCTGTCGCTGTGTGACCTTGGCTACAACATTCGTCATCACAGGCTCCGCATCCCACTCACTGCGCTTGGCAATTAAAATTCCGGAAATAATTAGGTGGCATTTAAAGCTAAAAAAAAAAAAAAGAAAAAAAAAAAAGAGAAAGAAATTCTGCAGGAATTGTGCAGGGAAAGGAAGGAGATGAGAAAAAATGCTGCTCCACTGTTAAGTTACTCTTTTGCTTCGTCCCCTGGCAGCATCACAAAATCCTTCAAGAGGAGTGCGCGGCATGAGAGGTAGCAATCAAAAAAAAAAAGAGCTTCAGATCACAAAAAGACTACTTCATATTTTATGGAGTGGGCATCCTCGGCATTATAAGATGGAACAAATTCTTTTACAGTGTGAACAAGTGGCCCTTTAATGCAGGACGAAAAAAAAAAAAAACCTTCTGGAAACGTTACAGAGAGGGCCCCATTTCTGGAGCATTAATGTGAGGCAGGAGAGAGGAGCGGCAGGAGAAGGAAAGCTCCCGTTTGGCTAATTTTGGGCGACAGTTGAGCGACTGCTGGAATGCGACAACGTTCCACGGTGCCTTTATTAGCAGTCATATTAGCGGCTGTTCTCAGCAGGGGCAAAAGCTTTAGCCAGTCATTAGCATCACACACTATTTGTCTCCCTGACACCAGGATGAGGCTGCTGTTGCCTCTTCCTCTGCCTCCTCTCTCTCTCTCTCGCTCTCTCTCTCTCTCGTCATCTCCTCCTGTCACCCAACATTCTCACCTCATATCTCTCCCTCTTTGTTCTCACCCATCATAACCTCACCTGCTCCTTTTCCTTTCCACTTTCTCCACCTCCTCCATATATATCATTGAGTATACATTACCTTTGTTCTTTTCTCACACCAATTTACTTCACTTTCAACCTCTTTTCGCATTTTCTCCTATCTCTCTCACACACACACACACGCACACACACACGCACACACACACACACACACACACATGCACACACACGCGCACACACACACACACACACACACACACACACACACACACACACACACAACCTTAGCTCATTGTTGTCTCTCTTTCTCTCCCTGCAGAGCAGACTTGAGATGGAGGGAATGCACCACCTCTGGCTGTGCCCCCTATCCAGTAGGAGGATCTATAGACACGTGTGGCAGAGCCCCGTCTCCATGGTGATACCCTGCAGAAATCCATGAGGGATTCGCCATCCTCACAGCCAGACAGTGAGGAAAAATGAGAGAGATAGACAGACAGGGAGAGAAAATGAGAGGTGGGGAGGGAAAAATAGAGGCTATAGGAGTGAGACAGACGGGGGAGTGTATGCTTTTGTGCGTGTTTGCATATGTGTGTGTACCATATGTGCTCAGAAAATTGGGAAATATATGGTAGAGGAGTTATAAAAGAAAAGGAGAAATGTATTGTGTGTGTGTGTGTGTGTGTGTGTGCGCGTGTGTGTGCGTGTGTGTGCATGTGTGTGTGTGTGTGTGTGAGAGCAGAGAGGATGATTTCAGAGCTGTCAGGCTTCTCCTGCTAGCAGGGGAGAACAAAAGACAGTGTCTTGGTGCAGGAGGCTCAGCGCATGGCAGACGCTGCAATTTGGGGCGTTTTCTGGCGGCTCAGGCTCCAGCTCGCATATCAGCTGCTATGGCTCATTCACACACACACATACACACGCGCGCACACACTAACATACGCGCACACACAGCAGAATGACTGTCAGTTCGTCCTAAAACTCATACAATATTACTTCATAGCTGCGGTGTTGAAATAATCCTCAGTGTTAGTGAAACCCATGTGCAGAAATTACATGTCCACTTGGAATTTACGCTGAAGTCTTAACAATAAACGTGACATTTAAGTACAGTCTTTTCATGTTTGGTTACATGTTTGAACAAAGCACCACCATCCAGCTTCACACACAACCCCCCCATTCCCTGACAATACAATGGTTAGTATGTTGTAGACAGTGAGTGTAGCGGTGAAGTAGCTAAGAGGCATCAGAACCCAACAAACATGCTGCTCAGTTCACTGGTTCAATAAGCCTGTTGTTGCCCATTCACTGCCCCAGCTCGAACATTTGTGGCCTTGAGCTGATAAATCCAGCCTCAACTTTAGTCAAATACTCTGCCCCTTGCATTACATTGACTCTCGCTGTTAACTCTTGCCCTTGTTTTTCATCCATGCCACTGCCTGTGTCCTGATACCCTACTGTCAGTCTTTATCCCGAGCCCCAGCGAGAGCCTTGGGAGCTCCCGCATCCTCAAACGTGGCTGAGATACAGTACAGCTGCTGGCAACCACTCATACGCACTGAGCAACATCGTCCGACATTTTATCCTCGCTCCCTGAGACTATCCAAGGTCTCAGCTGCCCCCGTTGAACTCCTTTTGTCCGTATCTGCCAAACTACCACACCTCATGCTCGGGGGAAAAACACCTCCTCACAGATTGTTTATGTGCCTTACTGTCCCCATCGTGGAGCTGGAGTGGGGACTGTGAGAAGGAGCTGAGAGGTAAGGGCTGCTCTGATAGACGGTTATTTTTTTCTCACTGCTGCACCAGACGAACCAAAACACTTCTGTGCATTCTGATATGAAAGAGGGAGTAACTTTATTTTGAAATCAAGTGTAGAAACCATCCGAAACCATTACTCCATTCGACATTGGAGAGAAAGTTAATCAGCAACTAATTTAATAACTGATATACATATATATACCGATACGAATAATTTTTCAAGGCCAAACATTTGATGGGATTTGGACCGTTGGTCACACTGGCTCTGGTTTGTCTGTAAGTATTTTTCACTATTTTCTGACATTTTGTAAATCAAACACTTAATCAACTGTTGAAGAAAATACCTGGCAGATTAATTGCTAATGAAAAAAAATCTATTGTGGTGTATTCTGACTCCATTTCTGCAAAGGTGGAAAAAAAGGCAAAAAAATGTGCCTTACGATAAGTGTGTATTATATAATTTGAACATACAAAATACTAATTATTAAGCATTTGTGTCTCCAGACTCCTCACATTAAATCTAACATGGAGGTTGGGGCTTTTAAGATAGATCTGGCAGATTATTGATATGTGTATCATACAAGCTATTCTGCCTAATTTCCTAGTGGAGGTCCCGAGCAGGGGAGCTCATCGGACAGCACACTCTGGGGGTGTAATGCGGCTATCTGTCATCCTGCAGCTAAATTCACTCCTGGATTAGCCAGGTAAAGAGTCTCTCTACCAGCGTAATGACTTCAATCAATCACCCAGACTCAGAGACACACACACACACACACACACACACACACACACACACACACACACACAGAGGCCAGCTAGTTAGCTCCTAGCCCAGTGGCCATTTTGGAAAAGAGATTCCTTCCTCTAGCTTGTTTAAACAAGCCACAGTGGAGGCTGTCACAGTAGTTGTTTATTTGGATGAGCTGGTAGAAATGAACTGATGTGAATGAATTAGACTGCCTTTGCTTCTTATACTGATTGTCAGTGTATTAACTCACTATGATGCTGAAAATCACTTACATGGCTGGAATGTGGATCTAAACTATGGATGCAACGATTGATTATTGTCATTATTGACTATTTTACCAGTTATTTTCTCAATTAATTGATTAACCATTTGTCATATAAAATGTCGAAAAAAAATGATGAAAAATGCCCATTACAATTTCATTCAATGTTCAATTTAAGACGCTTAAAATAACTTAAAGGTCTCTGAGGCTCTGAGCCTCTCTTCTGATTGGCTGACTGTTTTCTGAGTGATCCAATAAAAATATAGTAGATTTCAAGTCAAAAACAAATCCTGCAAGGTTGGATGGTGGGTCCAGATGGGCGGGGCTTGGGGCATTGATGAGAGTGGTGACTGCTTTGTTGTGACATCACAAAGTTCCAGAAGTCCTGACGGCTGGTTTTAAGGCTCAGTCTCTGAACACAGGCTGTGTGCATTTCTCTGTGGACTGAGGCTTTGATACTTTCACAGTATTAATATAGAACCTAGACCTGCTTTATAATCAAACAACACATGGACATCTACCTTTATACTAGATGAGACATTTAATCGTTTTACTGATTTTTAGAATAGTAACTCCCCTGATTTGTTTATAGGAAATAACAGAAAAAGGTTGTATAGACACTTTTGTGTCTCCAGGGGGAGCTGTGTGCACCACAGTACCAACAAAACAATTCTGTAAAATAGTTGGTTATTGTAGGTTTCATAAAAACAGCTGGGTACGTAGTTTTCATAAAAACTAGAGCACCCAGCTGTTTTATAGAATTACTTAGCCTTTTCTGAACATAAATATATATATTCATGAGCTGTTTTTGAAGATTTAAGTCTTGACTAAGAGCCACAGACCAAGAGGGAACACAAAGACACACTAACGCATGGTTGGTC